AACATACGCCCACAGCAGGTAAATCGTCCGTGCGGTCGACAAGGGTTGTCGCATAGTCATGGCTTTGTAGGTAATCGGGGGCCTTTACAAGACAGTTCCATACAGATCAGATTATAAATTTTGTCGTTTGAGGGTTTACAAGGTTCTACAAACTGAAACAAGGGTCGTCTCAACTCTGGAAGTAACCTACAGAAATTGTTGAAATTTGACAGGCTTTTTCGTTTTACTACTTTGAATAATGCATATAAATTTCATACAGATCACATGATCATTTTTGTCATTCAAACGTTCACAAGGTTCACAATCGCCATAACTCTAGAAATTATTGACGGAAATTGCTGAAATTCAATAGACCACTGTTTCACAAATTTAAATGATGCATATAAAAAATGAAATGAAATCAAATGGGTTTAACGTCCTACTGTTCTGCTCCTATACTGGGCTAATGAAGACGGGCATACGCCATACAGTGTGCTATGAGGGAAATTTTGCCCGGGCAGCGGCACTCTCGCCTACTCTTATATCGAATTCCAACTGCCAAGGGATCTTTTACGTGCATTCCAATGTTTACACGGGACCTCGGTTTTTCGTCTCATCCGAAGGACTAGACAGCTGTCCTTGTCAGACCCTCCGTCCTGCATCACTGACAAGGGGAAACCACGTCGGAAAATCGGGATGAACTTTCTCGGCCAATGCAGGGATCGAACACCCGACCTCCAGGCTAGCGAGCCAGCGTCTTACCCACCTAGCCACCGTGGCTCCCAAATGATGCATATACATTTCATACATATCGGATGATAACTTTCATCAACCGAGCATTAACAAGGTTTAACAAAGTGAAACAAGGGTCATAATTAGAAGTAATTATTGTAAATTGCTGAAATTCAATAGGCTTCTTCGTTTCACTAATCTAAATAATGCATATAAATTTCAGAAAGATCAGATGAGAACTTTTGTCGTTAGAGCGTTCACAAGGTTCAATAAAGTGAAACAAGGAACATAACTCTAGACGTAATAAATGGAAATTGCTGAAATTCTAAAGGATTCTTCGTTTCACTAATTTAAATCATGCATATAAATTTCACAAAGATTGGGTGATAATTTTTGGCGGTAACAGCGTTCACAGAGTTCAATAAGTGAAACAAGGGCCATAACTCTAGATGTAGTAAACAGAAATTGCTTAAATTTAAATAGTGAAACAAGGGTCATAACTATAGAAGTAATTATTGTAAATTGCTGAAATTCAATAGGCTTCTTCGTTTCATTAATTTAAATTATGCATATAAATTTCACAAAGATCGGGTGATAACTTTTGGCGTTAGAGCGATCACAAGGTCAATAAAGTGAAACAAGGGCCATAACTCTAGATGTAATAAACGGAAATTGCTGAAATTCAATGGGCTTCTTTGTTTCACCAACTTAAATATTGCATATAAATTTCACAAAGGTCGGATGTTAACTTTTAGCATTAGAGCGTTCACAAGGTTCAACAAAGTGAAACAAGGGCCATAACTCTAGACGTAATAAACGAAAATTAAATAGACTTCTTCATCTCACTAATGTAAACAACATATATCAACTTTAAAACAATTGGATGATAACTTTTGGCGTTAGAGCGTTCACAAGAAAATGTGGACGATGGACGGACGGACGGGGGCGACGGCAATATACGTCCACATTTCAATGAGGGCGTATAAAAAGTGGGGTCGGATGGCCGAATGGTTAGCGCGTGCGCGTTGTATCACAAGGTCTGTCATTGAGTCAACTGGCGTGGTTTCGATTCCCCGGTTGTACGTGACAAGGAGTAGGGTTGTCAATCCCACCTCGTGGGTTTTCTCCGGGTCCTTTGGTTTCCTCCCACTGATAAAGACCCCTAAGCGCAAGGGAATTATTGAAATAGAATTGAACCATATGTTAGTCCCTAAATGGCCTAGTTTGTGTCGAGTGGATGGTAAACCCTATTTCTCTTTTTCTCACTTGTGTAAAATTTGGCGATGTTGACATTGTCTTTTAATGTTCCACCTCCATTTCCCAATCGCCCAAACTATATATTTATACTGAACCACCTCAGAAAACAGCACGGGCATCGTGCTTCTTGCCCTAGTATAAACAACACTAATAATAGTTGGGACTGTTCACACGACAGGGTAAAATTATTGTTGGGGTATGTTACAATTGTGTTGTTTTGGTTTTTTTTGGTAATTTACAGATTTTTTGAAATTTACATTTTACATTTCATTAAACAACGTCTCTCCCTCTCTCTAAAATGGCGAAGGCCATAAAAAAAAAAAATAGGCATACTGCAACTTGATGCTCGGGATTCCTTTATTTTTCGCGCATTATTTATTCTGCTGTAAAAGTTAGAACTACCGGAAAATTCACATCGAAACGAAGAAATGCTATGTGCTGATAATACCAGAAGGGGTCTATTTTAAATACCATTTAAAGACATGTCTTCGATTCACTTAATTCATTAAATATTCGCTTAAATGCGTTAATAATTCTTTGCTGTAACTTATTGGATTGGGGCTCCTGGTTGTACGAAAAATCACGTTTTTAGCTTGTGAACACTGTAGAGGTCACATTTTTAACCGATTTGGTTCAAACTTGAAATGTATGTCTATAGCCCACAGATCTCGGCCCCTTTCGATATTCGCGCATACCGGACCATAACTTCCTGAAATATGGCCCCCTGATTGTACGAAAAATCTCGTTTTTAACTTGTTGACCCCATAGAGGTCACAGTTTTTATCCGATTTAAAATAAAACGTTACAATATATCACCATTACACCCTAAGGATGGTTGAGTTCGGATTTCGTAAAAATAGAACCGAAACTGACGGACAAAATGGCCACCCATCGTTCGCAAATAGTGTCAAAATATTGTGTATCAGGGATGTAGACCCTCTGGAGGTCACAATGTTCATCTGATTTTGATGAAACTTGAAATACATGTTTATAACCCACAGATCTCGGTTCCTGTCGATATTCGCGCATATCAGACCATAACTTCCTGAATTATGGCCCCTGATTGTACGAAAAATCGTGTTATTAGCTTGTGGACCCAATAGAGGTCATAATTTGTATCCGATTTAATAAAAACGTTTGAATATATCACCATTACACCCTAAGAATGTCTGAGTTCGAATTTCGTACATATCGAATCATAACTTCCTGAATTATTGCCCCCGACTGTACGAAACATCGCGTTTTAGCTTGTGGTCCCTCTAGAGGTCACAATTATTATTCGTTTAAAAAAAAACGCTCGAATATATCACCGTTACACCGTAATGTTTGTTGAGTTCGAATTTCGTGAAAATTGGGCCAAACCTGCCGGACAAAATGGCCGCCCCCCGTACGCAAATAGTGTAAACATGTGGTAAATCAAGGTTGTGGACCCTCTAGAGGTCACAATTTTGATATGATTTCGATGAAACTTGAAATACATGGTTATAACCCTAAGATATTGGTTTCTTTCGATATTCGCGCATATCGGATCGTAACTTCCTGAATTGTGGCCTTTGATTGAACAAAAAATCGCGTTTTTAGCTTGTGGTCCCTGTAGAGGTCACAATTTGTATCCGATTTAAAAAAAAAAACGTGTGAATATATCACCATTACACACTAAGATCTTGGTTCCTTTTGATAATCGCGCATACCCGAACTTAACTTCTTGGATTATGGCCCCAGATTGTTCGAAAAATCGCATTTTTAGCTTGCGGATTCTCTAGAGGTCACAATTTTTTCCCGATTTAAAAAAAAAAGTTTAAATACATAACCATTCCACCATATTGAAGGTTGAATTCGTATTTCGGGAAAATCGAAATGAAACTGCCCGACAAAATGGACGCTCTTTGTACGCAAATTGTGTAGAAGTGTGTAATGCGAAGGTTGTGGATCCTCTAGAGGTCACAATTTTTATCCGATTTTGATGAAACTTAAAACATATCTTTTTATCCCAAAGATCTCTGTCCCTGTTGATATTTGCACATTTCAGGCCATAACTTTCTGGATTATTGCCCCTGATTGTACAAAAAATCATGTTGGTTTTTAGCTTGTTCTCTATCCATCTCTTGCAAAATGTGGGCGTATCCTGTCCGGCAGCCGCTGTTTTTTTTCCAATGTATCAGAGTTGGTGGGCGTGTGGATAGTTGTCGGACAACTTGTGTGTTTGATATTCGGTACACCAATGTTACTGTAATGATATATAGAGAATCTCCTACCAGACGAGTAGGAGATTTTATTTATCACCAAATCCCTTCTTACATGCACAAATAGATAAATATAATTTTTTGCTGTAGATTTCACTTTTACTGAACATTACGGCGTAGTGATACATCATTTTTTGACAGCAATTCAACCATTGCAAAGTCCTTTATATTGACACAGTGTTTCCATCAAGGTCAATTGAATAACAATAGTTCTTTTTTAATAAAAAAAAAGTTACTTTTAATAAGAAATGAACTGTTCTTTGAAAATAAAAAAAGTAGTTCCTTTTCAACTGACCAATCAAATTCATGTAAAGCGATATCTCCTAAGGAGATATCGCAGTAGATTATGAAATATATCACACAAGCGATATCTACTGAAGAATGTATTATTGGGTGATAAAATAGTTTACTACATGTGTAAAAAGGGGTGGGTGGGAGTGGATGGCCGAATGGTTAGCGTGGGCGTTGTATCACAAGGTCTGTCATTGAGTCAACTGGAGTGATTTCGAGTCCCCGGTTGTACGTGACAAGGAGTAGGGTTGCCAGTCCCACCTCGTGGGTTTTCGTCGGGTCCTTTGGTTTACTCCCACTGATAAAGACCCTTAAGCGCAAGCTAATTATTGAAATAAAATTGAACCATATGTTAGTCCCGAAATGACATAGTTTGTATCGAGTGGGCGTTGAACCCCATTTTTCTCTTTCTCACTTGTTAAAATTTGGCGATGTTGACATTGTCTTTTAAAAGTCCATCTCCATTTTCCAATCGCCCAAACTATATGTTTATACTGAACCACCTCAGAAAACTGCACGGGCATCGTGTTTCTTGCACTAGTATAAACAACACTAATAATACAGTAGTTGGGACTGTTCACACGACAGGATAAAATTATTGTTGGGGTATGTTACAATTGTGTTTTTTTGTGATTTACAGACTTGCATAGAATGGCCTGATCACCCCAATTATCACTGCTTGTATTATTTCATGAATCCCAAATTATATACATAATTCAACAGCGAGTGTCGAACGCGTCCGATGTATAAATCCAAAATAATGTAGCAATGCAAAAGCTTTCTTAAATTTTTGAATCTGACTAAAATTGAATATTTACAAGCCCCCCCCCCCTCCACGGTACTATTTCAGTAACGTACCTCTACCAGTTCCCATGACCGTAGAGACTTGAAATTTTCAGGGGGTATTCACGCCGCCTAGCCATGACCTCACACCAAATTTCAGCCGAATCTGTCAATAACTCTTTATTTTACCGCAGTTTAGCTTATAACGAGAGAAATTTATCTGATTTTGACGCCATTTTGTTTGTTGGCTGTTTAGACTCGAATAACAAGTTAGGGTTAGGGCTAGCCCTTTCTATATCTTGAGACTATGACGAAATCTACAGGTCCTAGCCCTTACCCTAACCCTTATCCTAACCCACAATACACATATGACGTCATTCAAGCCTAAATAGTCAACAAACAAAATGGCGTCAAAATCGGATAAACTTATCTCTTATAGAAGCTAAACTACGGTAAAATAACAAGTTATTGACCGATTCGGCTGAAATTTGGTGTGAGGTCATGGCTAGTCCCCGTGAACACCCCCTGAAAATTTCAAGGCTCTACGATCACAGGAACTGGTAGAGGTACGTTACTGAAATAGTACCCCCTCCTCTCCCATTTAAGGAACCAAAACAGTTTCAAAATCGATTAAGAAATAAGAATGTTATTGCACTTTTATGACCCAAAATTTGCAAAGAAGTGACCGAAGACAATATTTCAGCAACCATTGAAGATATAGGCATCAAATTTTCAGGAAACATCCTTCGAACCATTAACTATTTATTGGAACTTTTAAATTTGGGCTATATAATTTATATCCTTTGATATAGGGGTCTTTCTATGAGAAAATACGTTTACTTTGCTATATAATAATGACTAAAAGTCAATATAAACAAACTCCAACCCTGAAATCTGAAAAAAAATATATATATCATAACTAATTTATAGGTTAAAGTTTTCAATTATTTTGTGTCATGGCCTGCTTTCACTGCAGATATACACCACTATTGCATTGCTCTCATATTCAAGAGTAATTCCATGGTATTTAGAATTTAGTTCCGAAGATATTTTTGTTTTGTCCCCATTAGCTCTCTAAGCGAGCTGCCTTGGATCACCCTCCGTAAGTTCTGAAAAAAAGGTAAGACATTGCTTTAGCATATTTTAAAAAAAAATGTATTGGCTATCAATGTAGGCCAGTTAGCAATTGTCACAGGTAATACATAGACAAAATATGGCATTTCCCGAATGCTTTTATGAAAGGTTGCGATTTGAGTTTGTGGAAGAAAATTTTCTGAACTAAATTCCAAATGGGATTAACTCGAGAGATCATATCAAAATATACTTTTATAATAACTTTAGCCTTTTTTGTTTGATTTTTAAAAATCAGAAATTGATTAAAAGCCTAAATCTCAATTAGGGCTTATTTATAGATACAGATAGCTAAGGAATTTTTCATATTCTTTCAGATTATGGTTTCACTTTATATTTTGGTGGTTTTACCAAGTTTTGTTCTGACAATTAATTTGGACCAACACCGTAATAAGAGACAAAGCGGTGGTGGAGATTTTGTTTATCCTTTTGGTTTAAACCGTAAGTATTTTAAAGGGCTTAAGACCCATATCAAATTCATATTTTTAATAACACTAAATTAAACTCGTTTAGAACTGTCTCAAATCATATCGGTTAACAAAGTCAAATATAAATATTTTCAGATCCCGAATCGCCATGGCCCTTTTTATGCCATTTAAGTTCTATTATGGCATGTTGGGGCTTTAAATTTAGTAAGTCTTGTCGTTTGATCCATATCCACACAAAGTTATAAAAAAAATGAAAATTCCACACACCCGAGTGACGTCTCAGGTATTTAGGACATGGCGCCAAAAGCTACTGGGTTTTCTAGATATGTTGCTATGGATACCATTACAAAACCCATCATCTTAGTGATCGGAAAAATAACCATATGCCAGAAATTTATTATAAATGGAGAATTAGGAGCCGCGGTGGCTCAGTGAGTAGGGTGCTGGCTGACCAACCGGTGCTAGCTGAGAAAGTTCCCCAGGATTTTTTAGCGCGGTTTTTCCTTAGTAGGACAGCGTCTAGTCGTTTGAGGTCCCGTGTACACACTGACAGTTGGCAAGATTTCCTTCATATCACACTGTATGAGGTATGCGCAGCTTCATTAGCAAAGTCGGTGCAGAAAAGTGGTGCGTTAAACCCCATTTCATTTCAACGGAGAATCAACAAAGCAGGCGAAACTTTAAAACTTGTGGCCTTATAGAATTGCCGTCTGCATGACGTACATGTAGTCCTGCAAACTAAAGGCTTTGGTTTAAAATTTAATTGGGGTGTTATAACTGAGGGTTAATAACCCGATTAATCGCTTTGCAATAATCAAATCTATTATACTGATTGGGCAGCTTTTTCCCGGCAACTACGTAACCGGTTTACTAAAATTAAAAACTGAATCCGATATTTGCAAGAGCAATCTTTTAAACTATTCCACGATCCGTAAATACAAATTCGTCAATATACAAAGTACAACATTGTGTTAGAAATATTCTATTCAGTACTTCGAATGTTGAATTGTAATTTCATCGATCTATATTATATAATGTTCGCTATCGGTGGACCTGTTTTAAATCCGAATGAATCCAAGTCGGAATATCACCGTACGCAACTTATATACTAACATAAATATTTTCAGGAAGAGCAATTCGAATTGGACCAGCCAGATTGGCTAATCATCTAAATTATGTGTGCAGAGTAGCCAAGAAACTAGAAAATGCTCAACTGGGAAGTAATATGGAGAAAGTGTTCAGTGGTTTAATAGATGCATGTACAAAGTATGACCCAATTAAAAAACAATTAAGTAAGCATCAGAAATTGTTATTTTTTCCGTGTTTAGGAATTTTCAGATTCCGTCATTGATTCCTTATATACACTGAATGTACAAAGGCGCAGCCGACCTCAACACCCATAGTGGGATACATATTTGGAAAGCTTTCCATCATCAGCATATTGTAGGGTGTGACCCCCCCCCCCCCTTCCTCCTCCTCCCCGAACTTTGGAAAGTTACAAAGCGGACCAAAACAGCTTTATCATCATTCTTATGCGCACATTTACGTCGAACCTTTTTAATCACTCTACAGTTTTAAAGATTTCAGTCTGGACGTATTAACGCGATAGAGGCTAGTTTTTAACCGATTTATTTACATATTGGCATTAGCACTGTGAGATGATGAACCCTGTTTAAATTTAGTATTACGCATTACTATCGACGAGGATATTGTACCCTGTTGATTTTCAGCATTCTGTGTACTAGGGGAGCTAGGTTCAGGTTATTTCGAAAATCACGTACAAAATCTCTACTATGATGAGTAACCCAGCAGTGCCCGAAACTCGAAATCAAACCTTGATTCTTAAGTTGCGGGCCCCCTTCCCTTGAGGGTGTGTGTGTGTGGGGGGGGGGGGGGTCCGACTGAATGTCGAAATTGCCAGTTTTATTCGACTTTTGCATACAACGATCAACCTTCGTGAATAAGTCGATCAACCTCAGTTGTCACCAAAAGCACTGCTTAAAGGAGCTAAATCGCTAATATTTGGGACCTAGAAATTGACACAAATGGGTCGCAACGCGCAGAATGTACGATGAATGTATATAAACTGATTTACATTCAATCGTTTCCGTTTCACTCTAATTTCTAATCAGTTATGTTCGGCGAAAAACGCCAGAAGTCTCAATCGAATGGCAATCTCTAGCGTCTGGTTATTTCAGTCTACACCGATTGTCACCGATAATATTTATTGCGCATACTCTCCAGATAAGAATGTGGCGTCACCGTTTGACATGACTTGTGAAATATGTCTAGCCTCGTCCTTCGAGTCCCTTGTTACAAATGGTGCTGAAACACATGGTACATTCGTGTACCGATGGTAAAATGTTTATTTTGTCTTAAATATTGGATATCAGAAGGTCATCTTTTCGCGGTAAGATCACAACATCAAATAATTTATGTTTTCAATGTAAAAGACTTTGGATGGTATTGAGTTAAGAGACTTAGCTAATTTAAGAAGACCCCCGACCCTTAGTCCCCCCCTCCCCCCTTAAGAACGCCCCCTCCCCCCTCCAGAGATAATTCAACTTCCGCACACAAATAATTTTTGGTTAAACGTTTCACTATTGGTCTACTAGAACATACCACTAACCTAAGAAGGCCAAATCCTCTATCTCGGATAAAATCGGCAAAACGGGTGGGGAAGGGGATGTAATTCCAATTCGACTTCGTTATTGGGGTCACTAGACAATACCAATAACATAAGAACGCAAAATCCCCTCCCCCTTTGTCGGATTAGAACACAGAACACGAGGAGCAAATAAAATGACTCGTATACGAATATACTAGCTGTCTAGTCCTTCGGATGCTACAAAAAAACGAGGTCTTGTGTATACATTGGAGTGCACGTAAAAGACCCCTTGACAGTTGGAATTCGATATAAGAGTAGGCTATAGAGTCCCTTGTTGTATCATGGGTCTTTTGTCAGACTTGGAAAGCGGGCAACGCACTAAACCGGTCGTCACATCCTACGCATAACCCATGCATCTTTTCTTGCTACATATCTTAATAGCCTAGCATTTTCACTTGTCGTCTTTGCTTCCCCTTCACTTTGTGTATTTACGTCTTCTCAGTAGTTAAGACGTTTGTCTTACCAGGAATAACAATGCAACAGTTCCTTTTTACATTTTATATATCAAGCTGCTTAGATATGGTACAATGCATAATAGGTTACAATAAAGTCATGCCCGCAAACCCCACCCCACCCAGGCAGACTCGCAACGAGTCTGCTGATAGAAATTGTTACATCTTCTCTTTCTAGAATCCAGCTGCATCTAAAGAATGCTCAAAATATGATGGTTTTGTGTGTTTTGGTTTGGACGTTTATTTATCTAATTGGTCAAATATGACGTAATTAATTATAGTGATTGGTTAATCACCCTTATAATACTTATATGGATAGTGGACACTTACAGTAAAAATTGCCCACGTGATAGAATTGAATATTTACGAAATTATAATTCTTTTTATGTATCAATCTGTCACTCATTCACTCATTCTGATTTATGTACATATTTAGACAATATTACTTTTATACAATGTGTGAATCTATTAATTAGCCAAATATATTAATTAATATAATGCTACTATCTAAAAGAGCAAAACTTCAGCAATCTAGCTACATACTACCCGGGCGAAATTTCCCTCAAAGCACACTGTATGGCGTATGCCCGTTTTCATTAGCCTAGTCGGGGGAGAACAGTAAGACGTTAAACCCCATTTCATTTTATTTTATATACAAATATAGCCTTCCCCCTACCTGTCCCCTTTAATAAGTTTAAAACTAGACCAGATGGGAATCCTCGTACGTTCTCGGGTAAGATGAAAAGATCGTCGGAGACTAGGAAGTGGATTTGCCGAAAACGAATTATTAGACCCATATATTTAAACCGAAACCAAAACTATCAGAAACTAAGTTGTATTGAAAATCTAGGGAGTGATATATATCTTATTTCGGTTTGATCATCAAATTATTTCATGGTGTGCATTACATGCACTGGTGAAATTTTCAATTTTTCACAAACCTCCATAAGCCATAAGATATAATTCTATGTTTTAAGCTAAAAACAATACATTTTGGAAAGTACTAGGCTTAGAGACTTCTCCAAGATAATCCCTTCTAAAGGTTGTAGCTCTAGTCGACCCACTGAAACAGAATGGACGTCGGGAGCTTTTAGGGTCGTCAGCTAAATCAGCTCCCATTTCCGAGAGCCGCGCTATTTAATGTTCGTGCTATTTTTACTTCCTTCCTTATCCGAGATAGACGGGGATCACGGTGGGTAAGACGCTGGCTCGCTAGCCAGGAGGTCGGGTGTTCGATCCCTGCATTGCCCGAGAAAGTTCATCCAGATTTTCCGGCGTGGTTTCCCCTTGTCAGTGATGCAGGACAGCTGTCTAGTCGTTCGGATGGGACGAAAAACTGAGGTCCCGTGTACACATTGGCGGGCACGTAAGATCCCGTGACAGTTGGAATTCGATATAAGAGTAGGCCGTAGTGCCGCTGTCCGGGCAAAATTCCCCCTCATAGCACACTGTATTGCGTATCCCCGTCTTCATTAATTCATGAACATGATATTAATTAGGCTACATTTAAGTATTGTTGAATTGAAAGTAATATGTATATTTAACACTTCTTAAAATTTGTTTTAGGTGCTAGACTAAGAAAACATATCTGTACGAAACTCGCTCCCTATAAACCATCCTCCACGAGTTCGCCTGTCAAGCGATCACATCCAGCAGAGAACCCGAATAGAATCAAGAGAAGACGTCTAGTAAAGGCTTTACTTGAATATTTGAAATAATTTACCCCAGCCTAATAAATTTAGTTTGGTTACAAAATAGCTTGTCTCCTTGTTTCTGCAATATTTTTGGGCGCCCGGCAGCTTGATAAGTCTGCCAATTTTCGATTAGGCCAATCTATTTTTCTGAATGTTGTATACAATTAGCCGCTAAAGTTAACATACGCCTACCACTAGCCATAACGAAGATTCCATCCTTTTTACAGCATACACAATAAGTGCGGTGCAGAAAATGGTTGAAAACTCAACAAAACGGTCGATATCCTTTAATCCAGTAATCGATTAAGCGGTGAACACACTGGCCGAATCAATCGGCGTCTAAATTCGCCTAGTGTGTCCACTGTTATTCGGCCTAATGATTCGCCCGAATCAAACAGGTTTGATATATTCGGCCGAATTATATTCGCCTGGTGTGTCCGCTTCGCCGAAGCATTCGGCCGAATATAGAATTCATTAGCCAATGGTTCCTAAGTGTAGTTCAACCTGGTCAGCGGCGCAGGACGGAGGGCCGGGCAAGGGGCAACGAGTAGTCGTTCGGATGGGACGCAAACCCGAGGTCCCGTGTACCATTGGCGTGCACTTAAAAGAACCCTCAACAGCTTGAATACGAAATAGAGTAGGCTGTAGCGCCACTGCCAGGGTCAAAGTCCATCACTGCACATAAAAGTAATGCCCACGTAGATGCACTAGTTAACCCCCATTTCTGTAGAACTAGTCATGCGGGTGAATAATTGTGTCGGGCGTCATACAAGTTCTTACTAATCGTCATAGGGTGACCCGTCGCTCTACAGAAAGTTGGTCTCGACACGGCTAATGTGCACGAACATGATACTAACAGTAGTTTCATTTTGCTTTTACAAGTTTCTTAAAACAATTGTTGAGCTGGCTAAAGTGCGTGTTTCTAAATTCAATTTCTTGTTCCAGCTTTATGTTTCGTAAAAAGGAAGTCTTGATTATCCCGACCTGTCAATCAGACGTACACTGGTTAAGTGAGACTAATTTCAAAACAAGGGCACGTAACCTATCATTAACTCAAAAGTGTCTGGATGTTATGGACGACACTTGGAACCAGTTTCAGTCTATTATTTATAGATGATTAAATGGTCATAGCTTATTAAGTACAACATGATCGTTTATTTAGTGACTTTGTGTGAAACTGATTTAAGGCTTGGTATATACATATATATTGTGGCGTAATTGTCGAGATATTTATTTATGGTGGGTCACCCTATAATCGAATAGACTTGTATTAAGTTGAGTAAGGGTATCATGAAAATGAAATGGAGTTTAACGTCCTACTGGGCTAATGAAGACGGGCATACGCCATACAGTGTGCTATGAGGAACAATTTTGCCCGGACAGCGGCACTATGGCCTCTTACATCGAATTCCAACTGCCAAGGGATCTTTTACGTGCACGTCAATGTATACACGGGTCCTCGGTTTTCGTCCCATCCGAACGACTAGACAGCTGTCCTTGCCGGGACCTCCGTTCTGCACCACTTACAAGAGGAAACCACGCCGGAAAATCCCGATGAACTTTCTCGGCCACCGTGGCTCCTACAGGGTAGCAAGATTCTGAATAAATAATATACTATTCAAAAAAAGTAGGGGATATTTGATTTTGGGGGCATAATACTAAAATATGCAAATGACTACGAAAAAAGTCACTATAGAACCTAACAGAAGAAACATTTCCAGTTACATGTGACGCCCAAACGCACCAATAGCTACCGCATGGAATGCAGGTGATGCTTGGGATCATCATGGGGGTCCAACCCAAGATTTGCACGACTCTGACTTTGAATGTTACAGTCATTGTGGCATTGAATTCCAGGGTGGAAACATCAGTTTAATTGTTTTAGTGACCAGAAAACAAATTTTGATATGCGTCGGCTTACCCAAAATGAAAGGTTACGTGCCCTTGGCATGCTACAGATCGGCACAACACAGGCGGTTGTGGCGCGGACGATGAATGTTTCTCAGTCTGTCATAAGCAGGCTATGGTCCAGATACCGTGATACACAATCTGTACAGGACAGACCACGCTCAGGTCGACCAAGGGCGACAACTCAAGCCCAGGATCGATTTATCCGTACCTTGGCCTTGAGAAATCGTGTCATCACAGCAAATCAGATCAGCGCTCGTCTTCAAACAGACACTGGTGTGAGAGTGAGTGGCCAGACGATTCGGAATCGACTGCATAGGGGTCACCTTCGCGCCCGACGTCCTCGCGTGATCCCTTGTTTGAGAGATCATCACATTCAGGCAAGACGTCGTTGGTGTAGGGATCGTCAACACTGGGATAATCGACGCTGGAGCAATGTGATGTTTTCAGATGAGTCAAGGTTCACTGTTGATTTTTTGGACAGACGTAGGAGGGTGTGGCGTCGTCGAAACGAGCGCTTCCAAGACGTTAACGTCATCAGACATGATCGATTTGGGGGTGGTTCTGTTATGGTGTGGGGAGGCATCACTGTTGCTGGAAGAACGGCTTTACATGTTGTTGCAGGGCGTGTTACAGGCCAGTACTACCGGGACAACATCTTGGCAGTCCATGTTGTGCCGTTCGCACGACGTCATGGCCGCCGTTTCATCTTCCAGGATGACAACGCAAGATGTCACAGGGCCAGGATCGTTACAGGTTACCTCCAACAACAGAATATCACCACATTACCTTGGCCAGCACTGAGTCCCGACCTCTCCCCCATCGAGCATGTCTGGGACATGCTTGGACACAGGTTACGTCAACGTCAACAACGTCCTGCCAATGTCCAAGAACTTGCTGCTGCGTTGCAACAGGAATGGGACAATCTGGACCAAAATGAACTTAGACGTCTCATTAGGAGTATGCCACGTCGGATCAATGCTTGTTTGGCAAACAGAGGAGGATTTACCCATTACTGACTTGGTTGTGATGCTGTGGTAACTTTGCTGTTTGACCCCGGGTATCATTTTACCCTTATAATGGTCAGTCTGTGCCTTACTTAGTCTAACGATCATTTGGAATAAATCGATGAATGTGAACTTCATTTCATTTTGTCATTTGTTTCTTCGTCAGTTTCATTAGGTGACTTTAATAACACTTAAAAATCAAATATCCCCTACTTTTTTTGAATAGTATATAAGGATTTTAATAGACGATTGTTGGGATGCAAAATATGGGCATATAACCATGTTGCAACTGCATTCAAGCGTTAATTAAAATTGATGACTGACACTATTCATTTGACGGTAATAGTAGTCGATGAACAATGATAAAATTGAACTACATTATATTTCCCTAAACCAAGGCTTTATTCCACATGTTTTCAATGTAATAAATGAAGTAAAGCGTTTAATAGGTGTCTTTTAAGTCTGTTTTGTCTTGTTCCTGTTTGTGCTGGTAGTTGAAGGCGATTGTCTCGAAGTACCTATTGATGTAATATACTATTCAAAAAAAGTAGGGGATATTTGATTTTGGGGGCATAATACTAAAATATGCAAATGACTACGAAAAAAGCCACTATAGAACCTAACAGAAGAAACATTTCCAGTTACATGTGACGCCCAAACGCACCAATAGCTACCGCATGGAATGCAGGTGATGCTTGGGATCATCATGGGGGTCCAACCCAAGATTTGCACGACTCTGACTTTGAATGTTACAGTCATTGTGGCATTGAATTCCAGGGTGGAAACATCAGTTTAATTGTTTTAGTGACCAGAAAACAAATTTTGATATGCGTCGGCTTACCCAAAATGAAAGGTTACGTGCCCTTGGCATGCTACAGTTCGGCACAACACAGGCGGTTGTGGCGCGGACGATGAATGTTTCTCAGTCTGTCATAAGCAGGCTATGGTCCAGATACCATGATACACAATCTGTACAGGACAGACCACGCTCAGGTCGACCAAGGGCGACAACTCAAGCCCAGGATCGATTTATCCGTACCTTGGCCTTGAGAAATCGTGTCATCACAGCAAATCAGATCAGCGCTCGTCTTCAAACAGACACTGGTGTGAGAGTGAGTGGCCAGACGATTCGGAATCGACTGCATAGGGGTCACCTTCGCGCCCGACGTCCTCGCGTGATCCCTTGTTTGAGAGATCATCACATTCAGGCAAGACGTCGTTGGTGTAGGGATCGTCAACACTGGGATAATCGACGCTGGAGCAATGTGATGTTTTCAGATGAGTCAAGGTTCACTGTTGATTTTTTGGACAGACGTAGGAGGGTGTGGCGTCGTCGAAACGAGCGCTTCCAAGACGTTAACGTCATCAGTCATGATCGATTTGGGGGTGGTTCAGTTATGGTGTGGGGAGGCATCACTGTTGCTGGAAGAACGGCTTTACATGTTGTTGCAGGGCGTGTTACAGGCCAGTACTACCGGGACAACATCTTGGCAGTCCATGTTGTGCCGTTCGCACGACGTCATGGCCGCCGTTTCATCTTCCAGGATGACAACGCAAGATGTCACAGGGCCAGGATCGTTACAGGTTACCTCCAACAACAGAACATCACCACATTACCTTGGCCAGCACTGAGTCCCGACCTTTCCCCCATCGAGCATGTCTGGGACATGCTTGGACAGAGGTTACGTCAACGTCAACAACGTCCTGCCAATGTCCAAGAACTTGCTGCTGCGTTGCAACAGGAATGGAACAATCTGGACCAAAATGACCTTAGACGTCTCATTAGGAGTATGCCACGTCGGATCAATGCTTGTTTGGCAAACAGAGGAGGATTTACCCGTTACTGACTTGGTTGTGATGCTGTGGTAACTTTGCTGTTTGACCCCGGGTATCATTTTACCCTTATAATGGTCAGTCTGTGCCTTACTTGGTCTAACGATCATTTGGAATAAATCGATGAATGTGAACTTCATTTCATTTTGTCATTTGTTTCTTCGTCAGTTTCATTAGGTGACTTTAATAACACTTAAAAATCAAATATCCCCTACTTTTTTTTGAATAGTATATATGGACCAGTAGGCGGTTCAGCTGAACTAGTTTGAAATAAAATGGGGTTTAACGTCCTACTGTTCTCCTCCGAACTGGGCTAATGAAAATTGGCATACGCCATACAATGTGCTATAAGGGAAATTTTGCCTGGACAGCGGCACTACGGCCTACTCTTATATCGAATTCCAACTGTCAAGGGATCTTTTACGTGCACGCCAATGTGTACACGTGACATCGGTTTTTTGTCCCATCCGAACGACTAGACAGCTGTCTTTGTCAGGCGCTCCGTTTTGCATCACTGACAAGGGGGAACCGCGCCGGAAAATCTGGATGAACTTTCTCGGGTGAAGATTCTGGTGTCTCTTTGTATAGCGCTGCTAGTGGCTTGTTATTAAGCTGTCGTCCAGATAACAGTCTTGGTAGTAAAATTGCTATAAAGATGTGCAAGGAAACCATAATGATCTGAAAATAAAATTAGAACACTTAATTCTAATGGAAGGATAACGTTGGCAATATTATTTCAATGTTCACGGTGCAAAATACATATGTTAGCAGTTCAAAATACGTAATTTAGTTTTACAATTTGCAATTTCCATTGCTCCACAATACCAAATGAAATGAAATGGGGTTTAACGTCCTACTGTTCTGCTCCTAACCTGGGCTAATGAAGGCGGGCATACGCCATACAGTGTGCTATGAGGGAAATTTTGCCCGGGCAGCGGCGCTACGGCCTACTCTTATATCGAATTCCAACTGCCAAGGGATCTTTTACGTGCACGCCAATATGTACACGGGATCTCGGTTTTTCGTCCCATCCGAACGACTAGACAGCTGTCCTTGTCAGGCCCTCCATCCTGCATCGCTGACAAGGGAAAAACCACGCCGGAAAATCTGAATGAACTTTCTCGGCCAATGCAGGGATCGAACACTCGACCCACAGGCTAGCGAGCTAGCGAGCCAGCGTCTTACCCACTTAGCCACGTGATCCCCGCTCCACAATACCATTGACAGTGTTTAAAATACAGAATACACTTTTCAATTATACAAAATACAGTATAATAGTTGTTTTGCACATTACACTCCTTCATAGAACTTAGCATAGTAGAACATATACCTTATGGGGGATCTACCACGAAGCTCATTTGTATACGGAAAAAATTCCGGACTAGAACGGAAATCAATAACTTACGCGATCAAAGGTCAGTAGAAGGGGGCAGTCCTCGTATTACAGACCATCGGAAAACGAACAATGAAATTATTGAAATGAAATGGGGTTTAACGTCCTACTGTTCTGCTCCGACTGGTCTAATGAAAGCGGCCATACGCCATGAAGTGTGCTATGAGGGAAAATTTGTCCCGACAGCGGCGGTATATATGACTGTACTCTTGTATCGAATTCCAACTGCCAAGAGAGCTTTTACGTGCACGCTAATGTGTACACGTTTTTTCTTCCCATCCGAACGATTAGACAGTTGTCCTTGCCAGACCCTCCGTCCTGCATAACTGACAACGGGAAAGAAAAACGATCAAAGTCGGATGGTACGAAACTATTACGGGGGATATTTAAAGTAAACATACATGTACCTGTCTTCATACGAATTCTAGATATTATGTTACTAATCACTAAAAATCATGTTCATTTCTCTTTTCAAATATTTAAATAATATGTACATATTCTCTATATATGTACATATTTTGATGATTCATGTAAATTTACATATTTTGAAAAAAAGAAATGAAATGGTGTTTAACGTCCCATCGGGCTAATGAAGACGTGCTATGAGGGAAATTTTGTCCTGGCAGCGAAACAATGGCCTACTCTTATATCGAATTCCAACTGCCAAGGAATCTTTTACGTGCACGACAATGTATACATGGGACCTCGGTTTTTCGTCGCATCCGAACGACTAGACAGCTGTCCTTGCCAGGCCCTCTTTCCTGCACAACAGGAATGCCAGCTTGATCTCTTGTAGATTGATATCGTAAATTATTAATTTCCGTCCGACTTTTTTTCGTATGCAAATGAGTTTCGTCGTAGATCCCACGGTATTCTATTATGCATTTGTCAATTATGCAAAGTGTAATGTTCAAGATAACTATTATACTGTATTTGTATAATTGAAAAGTCTATTTTGTATTTTAACACTGTGTCAATGGTATTGTGGAGAAATGGAAATTGCAAATTGTAAAACTAGATTACCTATTTTGAACTGCTAACATATGTATGTTGCACCGTGAACATTGAAATAATATTGGCAACGCTATCCTTCCATAAATTCTACGAGATACACAAACTTTGATAAGTGTAAGGGTGGAAATTTGGGGAGGCACCTTTCCTTTACGCCGAGTGTAGGGAGACACCCAAAAGCTAACGAAGTGAAGAAAAGGATAAAAAGGGCTGAGGTGGTCGGCGGGGTTGAGCAACAGAACACATAAGATTGTTCAGCAACGAGTACTTTGCAAAACTTTGATCTGTTTTATAGGGTTTACAAGAATTGGAGAAGTTTGTGACGATAATCTGTTTCCTCATGAACTTTGGGCGTATACTTAGCAACTATTGTCGAAATATATTTTGAACATGAAGAGCTCTCGTATATTGTGTAGCCTTACCCTACTGGAAAAGTTAATTTATGTACTACCTCTCCGTCAATTTTATTATAGCAATATCTTCCATATATATTTACGTACATCGTCATTAATATATACTGTACGTAATAAGTAGGCAAACACTTTTGGTAATCCTGGCTATTTGTAAAGTATACTTCTTACTTAACTTATACGAAGCTCACCCAATTTGGAAATGATTTAGCGACGATATTAATTCTGGTGTACAGCGTCCTTGACCTGACCATAACACCCATCTGAGTTTGAGGGACTATCTAAAGAGATTTATCTAGTTTCCGAATAGGTGCCGCCTGTGTCTTAGAAGAACAATTAAAAGAAGGAAAGTTCTAATGGAGCGTAAAGCTTTTGTGTTAAAAAAGTTTTTTTACCAACCGACCCAGACCTCCCAAATCCAATACCTCTTCAGGCCTTCGTGAATAAGGGCCCGGCAGTTCTTACACTAATTGACTTTAGGCGTTTGCCCAGACCGAGCGGCGGCCTAGCTAGCAAGAAAATATAAGGAACGTATTAGAAAATATAGACAACTATGTAGATAAAACTATAAATCATGAGGTACATTAATTTCTATTTACATATTAATGTACATACGGGTGCTGTGATTAGACAGTTTTGTTAAGGGGCGCGGTAATACAGGCGTTCAAGCGTGCGGTTTATATCATAAGGTCTGTCTTCATTGAGTAAGCCAGCCTTGCGAAATTTCACCTTGTCCTATGGTTTCATCTGAAAGTAAACCATGTGTTAGTTCCCAAATGATCTAGTTTGTGTCTAGGGGGCGTTAATCCCCATTTCTCTCTACAATTATTACTTAGTGGCTTAGTGTGGCGGTGGTCGCTTCGACTTATCTATATTATTATTTGTTCTATACGTTCCGTCTGTTTTATTATATAAATTAATTGGCATACCACTGACAAAACTCATTTTTTATGCGTTCGGCGCCCCTTGCAAAGTTTCCTATGGAACTAAATATGTTTGTCATTCTTCCGAAAATGCACGGCGGCACTTACGTCATACAATTTTAAAACAATACAAATTTAATACAAATATATAAATTTTATACGAATTTAATACGAAGTTAAAAGTAACACCAATTTAATACAAAGTAATACAAATTTTTAAAGTAATACCAGTCTATTACAAATTCAATTGTGATACACGATAAAAAGTAGCCAGTCATAACTTAGCTCAGATAAAAGTAACTTGCCTGAAATTTTCAATATATTCAATTTTTTCATTATCTCTTTTTGAACTATTAAAGTTCTTTCCCCAAACCTCGCATAGTACCTAATTTACTATTTTGTGTCCAGGTCGGTTGAAATAGTACTTCAAAGTGATGGACAAATGAATATGGGACAAGGTGTACCACTCCCCTAAATTCAAGTTACATGGAAACTGAGTTTGACGCGCACGTGCTTCACACGTTTATACACTGAATCATATAAATATCAGCTGTAGGGACAGATTTCAATTAATCTGAAGTTATTTGATTTAGATTGATCTCGGTTTGTTTGTCGAGAATAAAAGGTAAAAGTAAGATCCTATATAGAAATATTCGACTGACGTACAATTTAGCTTGGAAAACATCAGTGAACCGCCAGTGTTTTAATCGACTGAATTATCTCCGTGTTTCGAGATAAGAAATGGTGCTAAAATAGAGCGGGAGCCCAGGGGGTTAACTAGCTGAAAAGTGTACCAATTTTGTCTCAATGCATGTATATCTGGTATCATTAGATTGCAAGTCTGTCGGGTTTCTGGTAGTGGGTTTGGTATTCCACGCCCAATATGCCATGCCCCCCAACTAGGTTAGATTAGCTCAAAAGTGTACCACATGAAAATCTAACAGCAGTGTACCGTACATCTTCAGGTGTTACAAAAATACTCTAACAGACATTTCTAGTGATGGGTACCCTGACAGTAGATAGCTTTTTCCGACATTTTAAATTTACGTCTGTAACACATAAAGGTGGGGCCTCGTGTGCAATAGCCAATCAAAGTACGAATCTGATCAGAGTTGCGCAGTAATACGCCGTAATTATGAACGTCCGAATCAATTTTGATAAAAACAACGCCTGATTTACTTGTCAATATTTTGTTTCAGTAGATTGAACTGCGTATGTGTAATAAGTACTAATAGTATAAAATTAACTTATTTAAGATGGTACATGCATTAATAAAGAAATTTGAGTTTGCCACTTGGAACTAAAGGCATCCAATCGTGGCTAAAAACAAGCACATCAGTATATCTCGGCGTTTTTAGTTACGTTCTCGTAGCTAGGAGGTCGGGTGTTCGATCCCTGCATTGGCCGAGAAAGTTCATCCAGATTTTCCGGCGTGGTTTCCCCTTGTCAGTGATGCAGGACGGAGGGCCTGACAAGGGCAGCTGTCTAGTCGTTCGGATGGGACGAAAACCCGAGGTCCCGTGTACACATTGGCGTGCACGTAAAAGATCCCTTGACAGTTGGAATTCGATATAAGAGTAGGCCGTAGCGCTGCTGTCCGGGCAAAATTTCCCTCATAGCACACTGTATGTCGTATGCCCGTCTTCATTAGCCCAGTTTAGGAGCAGAACAGTAGGACGTTAAACTCCATTTCATTTGGTTCCACGACTGTGTAAAATGTTTCCTATATTTGTCACGAGACGGGGTACATTTAGGAACTAATATTTTCGATAGTAAAAATACAGAGCATGGCACATGGGTCGAGTATTGGGCGGAATTCGCAACATAATTCAAATTCTTAACCTAATAATAAACCTTAATGCTAATATGTTTATTTCACATGCATGTAACTTCTTACTTTCAAAGCATAAATTATATTATTTAAAATTGCCGAGTCATATGCCATATCGAAAAATATTCAATTTTGAGTTCGCATCAATGGCGACGTTCATACAACCTTTATTTTTGTCCTGAAATATACAATTGGAAAAATTGCGCATCCCACGAGTTTGTGCAATGCGTATGAATTAATTACTTTATATAGCCAATTTACTACGCAAGTAAGAAGTTGAATGCATTGAAGTAAGCACATCCGCATACTAGGTAGGTAAAAGTTAGAATCTTTTTATGTCGAATTCCTCTCCATAATTAGACGTTAAATTGTTTTTTTAGAGCGTCATGTTGTCGATGAAGATATTGGTTGTTATCGCAATGGCCTTGATAATATGTACTGCACATGCTCAACGTAGAGGTAAGTGTATGATGTGGTAAACTAGGCGGCTGGAGATTTTAACCTTTTCAAAATTATTGTTAGTGTTTAGTATTTTGTCTTATCTTCTGTTTAGTGTATACAATTTCTAATTCGGATGGAATCTAAGATTAGTTATTGAAATTTTTATATTTGGGGTTAACTATGAATAATATATACTATTCAAAAAAAGTAGGGGATATTTGATTTTGGGGGCATAATACTAAAATATGCAAGTGACTACGAAAAAAGTCACTATAGAACCTAACAGAAGAAACATTTCCAGTTACATGTGACGCCCAAACGCACCAATAGCTACCGCATGGAATGCAGGTGATGCTTGGGATCATCATGGGGGTCCAACCCAAGATTTGCACGACTCTGACTTTGAATGTTACAGTCATTGTGGCATTGAATTCCAGGGTGGAAACATCAGTTTAATTGTTTTAGTGACCAGAAAACAAATTTTGATATGCGTCGGCTTACCCAAAATGAAAGGTTACGTGCCCTTGGCATGCTACAGATCGGCACAACACAGGCGGTGTGGCGCGGACGATGAATGTTTCTCAGTCTGTCATAAGCAGGCTATGGTCCAGATACCGTGATACACAATCTGTACAGGACAGACCACGCTCAGGTCGACCAAGGGCGACAACTCAAGCCCAGGATCGATTTATCCGTACCTTGGCCTTGAGAAATCGTGTCATCACAGCAAATCAGATAAGCGCTCGTCTTCAAACAGACACTGGTGTGAGAGTGAGTGGCCAGACGATTCGAAATCGACTGCATAGGGGTCACCTTCGCGCCCGACGTCCTCGCGTGATCCCTTGTTTGAGAGATCATCACATGCAGGCAAGACGTCGTTGGTGTAGGGATCGTCAACACTGGGATAATCGACGCTGGAGCAATGTGATGTTTTCAGATGAGTCAAGGTTCACTGTTGATTTTTTGGACAGACGTAGGAGGGTGTGGCGTCGTCGAAACGAGCGCTTCCAAGATGTTAACGTCATCAGACATGATCGATTTGGGGGTGGTTCTGTTATGGTGTGGGGAGGCATCACTGTTGCTGGAAGAACGGCTTTACATGTTGTTGCAGGGCGTGTTACAGGCCAGTACTACCGGGACAACATCTTGGCAGTCCATGTTGTGCCGTTCGCACGACGTCATGGCCGCCGTTTCATCTTCCAGGATGACAACGCAAGATGTCACAGGGCCAGGATCGTTACAGGTTACCTCCAACAACAGAACATCACCACATTACCTTGGCCAGTCCCGACCTCTCCCCCATCGAGCATGTCTGGGACATGCTTGGACAGAGGTTACGTCAACGTCAACAACGTCCTGCCAATGTCCAAGAACTTGCTGCTGCGTTGCAACAGGAATGGGACAATCTGGACCAAAATGAACTTAGACGTCTCATTAGGAGTATGCCACGTCGGATCAATGCTTGTTTGGCAAACAGAGGAGGATTTACCCGTTACTGACTTGGTTGTGATGCTGTGGTAACTTTGCTGTTTGACCCCGGGTATCATTTTACCCTTATAATGGTCAGTCTGTGCCTTACTTAGTCTAACGATCATTTGGAATAAATCGATGAATGTGAACTTCATTTCATTTTGTCATTTGTTTCTTCGTCAGTTTCATTAGGTGACTTTAATAACACTTAAAAATCAATTATCCCCTACTTTTTTTTGAATAGTATATAATCATGTTGGCTTCTCTTTGCGGGATGGGAATCCACTGTGGCTAGGTGGGTAAAACGCTGGCGCGCTAGCTTGGAGGTCGCGTGTTCGATCCCTGCATTGACGGATAAAGTTCATCGGATTTTCCGACGTGGTTTCCCCTTGGTGGTGCGGGACGGAGGGCCGGACGAACAGGTGTTTAATCGTTCGGATGTGACGAAAAACCGAGGTCCGTGCATACATCCGCGTGCACGTGAACGGTCCCTTGGATAAGAGTAAGCCACAGTGCCGCCCGTCTTCATTAGCCCAGTATATGAGCAGATAATGAATTGTCCGCATAAAGGGAGATTAAATAGCAACTGGACCTATTTTAATGCTTTTGGATTTTACAGGTGGAAGGCGGCCCAGGATTGCAGGACGATTTGTAAAGGTTATAGGTTTAGTTTGTAAACTGAAGGCGAGAGTAGAGGAGTTTTCAGATGACTCTATTGGACCGTTTTTTGAATCTTTAGATGACGCTTGCGATGAATTTGAGACGATCCGAAAAACGCTAGGTGAGTGTAGTTTCCATTTTTTACAGACGCCGTTCTGTTAAATTTGGTATTAGAAATTAAATTTGACCCGGCTAGTACTATGCTACCTCGATAACGAGGAGGTTTCTCGTGATTTTCTTGTTTAGTGATGAATTTCCAGTCGAATTGTTAGTGATGCAAGGAACGGTGTCTAGTCGTTCGGATAGGATGAAGAGTCGGCCTGGTATTGAGGATACGTAAAATATCCTGTTGGAATTCGATCGAGCGCTTAGTTTCCACCCCACGTTGCCACTAATATCGTGGGTATTCTACCGTTTTTCAGACCATCACCTAGCTTGTCGGAGGCTTGAAACATTTGACAATTTCTTAAATATACTCTTCAAAAAAAAAAAAAAAAAAAAAAAAAAAAAGTGACCATTTCGTCGTCGGTATACCCTCGCTTTACCATCGCCTTGTTGCAACGGGAACCGCGACAAGTCGCTAAACCAAACTCTTCCCCAACGTTGCACGCATTTTGAATTCGGATTTGGCGGTGTCGGCGTATTTCAAAACGGCTCTAACGGGACGTCTGGCTCGTAATACGGTTTCGTGAAGGCGTCTATGGACTATCTGGTCCGAGATAATACGCCGTCCAGGAATTGCTACTACGCGGTTGTGAACAGTTTCCGCAAATAACGTAACTGGATGTGACCCCCGATCCAGGCCAGGTGGGGCCACTCTTGGCCTCGGCTGTCAAGGAATCTTCGCTGTCGGTACCTAAAACATTAAAAACAAGTAAGATTTATGGAAACGTCACGATCCCGTTCAAATATGGGCTGTGCGTTATTTTATTTTTTTTTTATATTCTCTTAAGAGTATATCTGCTTTGGTAAGCGACATCGTTGACATTTTTTTTTTTTTTAAAAATGCAACCATGTGAATATTTTCATTCGAGTAGCATGGGCTTGTACGAAAAGCAGAACGACTGTTTTGAAATCGATAGTAACTGTTTAGACTTAAATCTAAACTTAATCTAAACTTAACTAAGTTTAAGATTCCTGAATTTGAAAACTTTTGGTCCAGTGTTTTGTATATTAAACTTTTATAACCCTTTTTTTTATACTTTATTTCAGTATCGAAGCTAACTGAGAAACTTGTGTCGCCAATTACCGGTGTGCCAACTACCCCTGTGTCAACTACCCCTGCGCCGTTACCAACTACCAACTCTGTATTGCCTCCATCATCACCACCGGGTAAACGATCCAATATGATTAGGAAACGTTTATTGGAGTCGTTGCTCGCATTAATGCAGTGATAGTTTACTAAAATAAAATATTGAGTGGGTTAAAGTGGTGTCTGGTTGTTTATTACGGTAACGTAACAAATGCGCAAAAATATGGGGATCAATATCTATTAGCATTTGAATTTAGAGCAAGCTAAAAAGGCTACCGTCCTGAACTCTTTGTGCATAGTCGCTGTGCGTAAACATCGGACATTAAAATTATATTCCAACATTACATTTTTACAAGTGTAAAGTTCGGGATTTTTGACACTGCATTTCGTACCCTATAAAATTGACAATTAGCTCGGTTGTAAAACTGAGGCACAAAAACTCGGCTCTTATTTCGATTGGTAATGCTGGCGCTGCCTCACTGATCGGGAGATACGGGGTTTCATCCCCGTGTTGGTCTGCTCTATTTCAGTATAAAAATACGTTTCTGAGAACTTATATAGGCCCTTGCCTATTCAATCGAATCAGTTTGTATTAAACTGTTTTTGTATTATCCGATATTAGGTGGTGCTGGTCTTGTTTCCATCGGGTCGGGTCGGGTGGGGTGGCGAATAGTTAGAGCGTGCGTTTTTTCATAAGGTCTGTCATTAAGTCAAACTCCGTGGTTTCGATTCCCCGGTTGTACGTGACGAGGAGTAGGGTTTTTTTGCGCGTCCTCCAGGTTCCCTCCCTAGTTTGTATCAAGTGGACGTTAAACCCATCTTGCTGGCTTTTTCTCTCGCTCTCACTGTTTTCTTTCGTATGTTATCCATCCTCGGTATCCGCAGTGGTCCTGTTTTACTTCAGCACTGGGTCCATTCATGAGGGGGGAAACGATCAAATTATCCGCCTTTTGATAATTGTGCTATTACCAACAAATCCAAATATTTAAAGGGAAGTAACTCGCATTTTATTGTAATTGGGTTTAACGTCTACTCGACACAAACTAGGTCATTTGTGGACTGACACATGGTTCAATTTTATTTCAATAATTCGCTTGCGCGCAGGGGTCTTTAGCAGTGGGAGGACCGGGAGAGCACCCACGAGGTTGGACAGGCGACCCTACTCCTTGTCACGTACAACCGGGAAATCGAAACCACGCCAGTTACTCACAGACCTTACGATACAGCGCGCACGTGCTAAACATTCGGCTATCCCCCACCCGCAAACTAAATCGAGCGTACAATTTTGGTGAACCTAAGCAATGACGCCAAGACTGGTATGCTAACTGTTTTTGATTGGTTCGAAAGCAAATAATTAAATTCCCGTGACTGGACCCGGGGATTAGTGGAGTAGAACGGGACGATGCCGACGAGCAAACCGAATGTTAACACATTTTTAGTTTATAAGCTTATCCTTGTAAATACGGAACGGATTTGAATGATTTCTGGACCAATACCCCTTTCAGATTCAGCTTACACCATAGTGTATAGTTTGCATCATCTTCAATAGAAGGCATGATCTTTAACTCCGTGCATCTCAGCAAGGCCTTCGGGTAATAGCCTGTATATTTCGACACTCGTTTCGATTGGGTATTCACCCGGCTTGTGAGCCTATCCAGCTGCCTTCACAATAGAGATTTAATCTGAATTGAATTCAAAATAGCCTTATTCCAGACTTTGGCGTCACACTCAATTCGCTAAAAACCGAACTGAATCTGACTTGACGAATCCGTATATTTTTTCGGATTCAACCCGGAACAATTATTCCGAATCGGTTATTCGCAATCAAGATTTGAGTCTTGACACGCTTGATTCAGATCAACAGTTTTACCGGAAATGATAACTTTGCGGACATGTTCACTTCTACTTCCGTCTTATGAAACTGGTGCAGTGGCAAATAACAGAGGTGCAGTTTGGGCTACGGAGAGGCTTCTCCAACTTTGGAGAGATGACGATGTGAGGCACAGTTGCAGGCCCCCTATCGTAACCAGTCTGTACACAGACTGTACACGGGAAGACATCTTTAACTGTTTACCCCCCCCCCCCTTCCGAAATTCGAAACGGAAACAGGAATGGGTTTATCGATGTTGTAAATCAAATAGTTATGGATTTTTACACGTATTTTCAAACGTCGTTATTTGGCCATGGGTTGTCGTTAATTTTTCAAAAAACAATTCTCAATATTAAAAGATTTAAGCCGTCCCGCTTTCTTGCAAATATTAAAATTCTTGAGTCTCGAGTCGCTGGTAAATGATTTATGAAAGAAAATATTTTTCATATATCGATAATAAATTATTTTTAAAGTATCAAGATATTTAAAAGAATAGGAAATTAGTCATATTGCGTCGTGATTGAAATTGTTGCGGCCTGCTAACCGAGATTATAGAGGGATAACTCTTGGCGACAAAGTTGGTTTCGCTTGTGAAGTTTACGTGAAATGTAGGTTTTTAGCATCTATTAGGATTTGTTATTTTATGGGCTATAACTCTGGCAGTAATTATCGTAAATCGTTCAAAATCAATTGGCTTTTTCATCCATGACCTTAAACACTATTCATAAATATTATGGGCCCGTCGCCCCCCCCCCCCCCCCTAATTTTCGACAGTGACCTTTTTTACTACTGAAAGTGCCTTTTCTCAGACCCAAATATGTCCATTCCCAACCCGTTGCAGGGATCCCAAATGACTCAAACCATCGACTCAAACACACCAGTCTGGTCTAATTAATGCTTCCACTTCCAAACGAATTCTTGTGGTTTAGCTAACGGTGCCCTAATCCTATAGAGTGACTATAGACAGACATCAATGATAGCATCTTGTGGAATCGACGGCGTATACACTCATGCCCATCACCTACGCGCATGAGTGCAACTTGCTGTAGCATTGTTTCATGTGTGCACAGTACAAGTTACAAGGCTTAAATAGTGAAGTGGTTAGGGAATAGATTCGTCTTTTTTCCCCATCATAATGCCTCGCTCGCCTTGAAAATTTTCGAGTCGCATGTTCAACTGGCTTTTTTGCTCGATTTTAAGGCTCTTTTTCAACGATTTCCGAACGTTTACTTAGACGAAAATATCAGCCAAATAGCTCTTGGAATGGCTACAGATGCAAGGAAATGACGAATAATTTTCTTGGTGCCCCCCCCCCCCCCCAAAAAAAAAAAACAACAACAACCCTCTCAGCGGCGTGCTCCGTCTCCGCGGTCAGTGCCCTCATTTTGCGGCGCCCCCCCCCCCCTTTCAAAATTCCTAGATCCGCCCCTGTGGGCCTTAACATGATATAGCCTCTAGAGCGTCGGACGAGGGCGACGACAATATACGACCACATATAAAAGTCCAATTACAAAGATAGGTATGTTCAGATCAAGGTCTAGATCTTGGGGGCGGGGCAGGCAAGCTTTAGTCATATCGAGTCTAGTCTCTAGCATGTATCGTCTATAACTGGATAAAAATGACAACACAATGTATTGCTTTAAATTATGTGTGTTTAGTGCTGAAAGGATTTGAATTATGAAGTGGGGGCCATGATGGTTCAGTGAGTAAGAAATTGGCTCCTTAGTCTGGTGGTCGAGGTGTCGCTCCCGGTGTTGAACGAAAACGTTCATCTTGATTTTCCGGCATGGTTTCCCCATGTCAGTGTTGCAGGGCGGAAGGCTTGACAAGGGCAACTGTCTAGTCATTTGAATGGGACTAAAAATAGAGTTCTCGTGCATATATTGACGTGGCCGTAAAAGATCCCTTGATCTGTCCTCGGAAAGTGGACTATGTCCATCTTTATAAGGCCAGTCGGAGCAAAACAGTAGGAAGTTCAACACCATTCCAATTATGAAATGTATGTTCGCTAGTACAGAGTCAAGAGTGAAGTACAAGTACATACGTGTTGATGTTAAGCAAACGCTACCAAAAGAGTAATCATTCTCAATCTCATTCCCATTTGATTTTGGTGCCAACGAAATCGTGCCCGGCGCTGCATGGCAACGTGCCGAAGATGTAAGACCCGGCGTGGCTGATGTAGCCTTGCTTGCCTCAAGAAAATAGGCATGAGCAACATAAGATCACCAGTACGAATGTCTGGTGCATCCATCTTGGATATGAATGACCTTCACTGCGCATCCGAATAAGCTGTAATGTGACGCACCGCTTTTAATCCTGGAAAAACCAATCCGAATGCCGGAGGCTGGTCTCCGGAATTCACATTGAATGCGCATGCAGATGAACGCAGCTTCAGATTCATCGATCATCCTGAATACCGGGCCTCGCCCTTTCCAGCTAAAATGTCTACTTGTGATAATCGAGTTGCAAGGTTGAAAGTTCGTTTAATGTCAAGGTTTCCGCTGAGGACGCTATAGTTGATTTGATTGTCTTAATGTCACAATTACTGATTGGACGCTACTGTTCCCACGTCAGCAGTAAAGAGAAAGGACGTAGCTATAAGTTTGGGAATTGCAAAGTAATCTAGCAACGTCCAGGGGCCGGTTGCTCAAAACTAAGTTATTTTTACGATCCATTAAACTCTAACGGATCGTTATCTTGCTAACGTGTCGTTTGTTAACGGTCCGTTAAATTTCTGTTGCTGGAAAGTCAATTTCATTATCCGTTAGCTAACGGACTGATGAAAGTTAATCCAACAGAAGACTGTTTATTGGCTGAATTTTAGAAGTTAGTATTAACAAGAAACTGGGGACAGTGTGCAGTTTCTTCACAAAAATTGATTAAAGACAAAAAGATAACCGTAGAATTTACTACAGAAAAAACTATAAAAACAACTATAGAATAGTTTATTTTTTCCTTTTTCCGTGGCTCCCTAATTCTGTTTACCATGGAGTATTTTTCTTTAAAATATACTCTTCAAAAAAAGAAACCCATAGTGATATTTCGTCATCGGTATACCCTCACTTTACAATCACCTCGCTGCAACAGGAACCGCGAGTCGTCGCTGAACCAAACTGTTCTCCAGCGTTACTGTGGCCATAACCTGGGTGTCTGAACCCATTGGAGTCAGAATTGACGGTGTCGGCCTATTTCAAAACAACAGCTCTAACGGGACGTCTGGCTCGTAATACGTTTTCACGTAGGCGTCTATGGACTGTCTGGTCTGAGATCCTATGCCGTCCAGGAATTGCTGCTGCAGTAGATAGGTCACTCTTGTTTGACCTGAGCTTGGGCGGTCACGTGTTGATCTTCGCTGTCGGTACCTATCCCACAGGTACAGGTACCTACATCTGTCTGGTATTCACCTGCTTGTAAGCAACCGATCGATAGCGTTGTTGCGTTGGTTTTCGTTTAGATGTGGCATCACTTGGCTCGTTGAGTGTTTACATGTGCAACTGATTTTGAAAGCGAGAACCCCGGGATTTTAAAGGCCTTGGATTTGGGTTTCATGCGAAAAGCTCGCGATGTTGTCTTGGTGCAATCAAGCGAAAACAAATTTCAGCAAAAAGTCTGACCAGTCACAATTAGAGACCCTACATTTAAAACCAATAATGAATTTCTTTTATCCTTACATAGTGACAAGTAAGATTTCCGTTCAAATAAAAAATGATGAAAAATGGGCTGCCAATATTTCGTTATCGATCTATTTTTCTCAATGACCCCAGTTTATTTTAGATCTTATCGCCCTCTTTTGGAACACTCGTTTAGTCTGCAATCTACACTTATTAGAGATTAATCTATCACAATAGAATTGGTTGCGAAGAATTCCGATTGCTGATAATGAAGCATCGAGAATTTAAACATTCAACGCGCGCGCTGTATCATACGGTCTGTCATTGAGTCAACTGGCGGGGTTTCGATTTCCCGGTTGAATGTGACAAGGAGTAGGATAGCCTGTCCAACCTCGTGGGTTTTCTCCGGGTCCTCCGGTTTCCTCCCACAGCTAACGACCCCTACGCGCAAGCGAATTATGGAAATAAAATTGAACCATATGTTAGTCCCGAAATGACCTGGTTTGTGTCGAGTGGACGTTAAACCCCATTTCTCTCTCTCTCTCTTTAAACATTCAAACAGTGAGTTTTGCTAAAAACGTTGCGATTGCCTTGGACCACCACCAACTGGGGCCGGAAGGTGGCGTTGATAGCGGCCCAAGCCATGATGTCACCTCCCACGAAACGATCCTTTTCCAGCACGCAGTTACGAGCAAAACGTTCATGTCGACCTCGGTAGACACGGTGACTTCCATCAGAAAAACTGAGGTTGAATCGGGATTCATCCGAAAAGATGACATTTCACCATGGTGTGTTGTGCAGATACCCCAGATTTGCGGCCCATCGCTGTCTGGCAAGTCGATGACAATGCAAAAGAATTTGACCTTGGTAAGGTCGACTTCAGCGTAACCCAAGAACAGCCAGGCGCCTTCGGACTGTTTGAGGGCTGATCTGACGTTGCCGTGTTCCAACAGGTCCCCTGGCAGTAGCAGTAGCTGACTGGAACCTGTTGCGAAGATGCTGTAGTCCGATGTGGCGATCTTGAGCAGCGGTTGTTACAGGTGGCGCTCCAGATCGGGGTCGATCGGCAACTCTTCCAGTGGCGTGGAAGCGTTGTCTGAGGCGAGCAATGGTCGATGAGTGGACATTAAAGTGTCTAGCGACGGCTATCTGTGAAACCCCATGATCCAGCATGCCAATAGCTCTGTTCATGTTTTCTTGTGTAAGGCATGGCATTTTTTCGAAGTGATGAATGTTGAAATTTTGACCTGTATTTAAAGGGCCAGAATGCAGGGAATGTACGTGCAAAACGTGTGACATGGGACTGCTTAAAATCGTGAAAAGGACAGGTGTTGCGTTTGCACGAACAAAGTTCATTACCAAGAACTGATATTGGGTTCAAACCCAGAACTCCACAACAAGAGACCCATCACAAGTTTCACCTATGTGACATAAGATAGGAAAGCCCAAGAAAACGTTTACTAGAAATATTTCACGAATTGGGCATTGCGTTTTTAATGGCTTTGGGTATCTATATACATGGGAATTCCTATATATGGTTGATCGTAGAGTTTTTGTAGCGAAACCTCTAGGACAATATGTCGAGCTGTATGTTTCACAGACCAGTGGAGGCACGTGTTCCTTTAATTTTCTTTTTTCTACTTTCAGAAACAGAATTAAATAAACACGATCGATTTCACCTCCTTGCCACCATTATTTCGCACACATGTATCCACAATTTACGGACTATTCCTAATGCTTTTGTTTCTGAGGCCTCCCAGGCGAGGAAAGGTCAAATGAAAACGCCTTATAGATGTCTTGTAATATCTTGCATGGTGTATGTTGGATATCTTGCATGGTGTATGTTGGAATAAATTGATGATGGAAATGTTTTAAGTATTGATTTCTAATATGTTGATCCTTGTTGATGGATAATCCACGTCCTAACCCAAAGACACTTAAAAGATGTATCATGTAAGATTAAATAAGAGTGGGCAATCCTGGCTATAATAGTAGACAAATAGGCAAAGAAAAAGAACATGTTGAAAATTTCAGAGAAACAGTATAATCTCGGTTGTCATTGCTACCGTCGTTACGACAATAAACAAAGTCTCGGTTGTACACCAAACCTCAGCATGTCAATTCCTGCAGCTTCCAGAAGTATTAAGTATTAAGGAACAATAATGTGATAAATCTGAATGCAAGAGGATCAACACAACTGTGTAATACTATAGGGTTTATTTTAGTTATAAGAAAGGTGTTCTATTTAATATAGTATTACATACCCATAGCCTCCTCGGCGTAGAGGCTAGGGTGAACACATCATCCTAGCCCGACCCTTATGTAGAACACTCAAGAAGTATGTGGCTCTTGTAACGTTTAAGCCGTCAGAGTTAGAAAGGATATTAAACTCAGACCGTGGATATTTTAATAACTCGAAAAGTACTATCATAGATGTTGTAGTTTCCTGTATTTACCCTTTGTAGTTTGCTGTATTCGATATATAAACGTAGTAACAACATAAACAGTGTTTCAGACTTAATTGATCATTGGAAATAGTTTTCACAACGTGAAGTCGAAGAAAGTCATAGACAAAAGTGTCAAATCTATAATGTCACAGCTAATTCCTTTTTAGTGCCGTGACGAAAGATAGTCACCTCTACCTCGTAGTGTCACAACTGAAAGACTGTGGGTGGGAAAAATCATATCTCATGTCCTCCCGTACAACTGACTAGCGCTCTCGCTATCTTAATGAAGAATGAATTGAATACATCATACTACGTCATCATCGGAAATGTCACGTGAGGATATACACCTATCATAGCTGATGACACTCACTACAATTCAATACAAACACGCGCTAAACTACTTATCCACAATCAAGCATGTAAACAATTTACACACAAATAAAACGTTTAGCTAGTCTGCCATTCATTTTCTCTTAATTAATCATTTGCGTCGATCTAAGATAATATTGCTACAAATAACATTCACCAATAACTTTCTCTACTGAAAATGGCTAATTCTGCTGCACAAATAATTTCATGCCACCAAGGCTTTCCTATTTCTATCAGAACTTTCAAAAGTTGAATACCGCCAAGGTATAACCCGAAGCCACCAAGGCTATTGGCTACCTAAGCCAAAATCAATATGCCACCAAGGCTATTGGCTACCTAAGCCAAAATCAATAAGCCACCAAGGCTATTGGCTACCTAAGCCAAAATCAATATACTACCAAGGTATTTTCAAGTAAATATAAAATCTATTACCGTTTAATGAAACAAGAACAAGTCTGTCCACCTCGCTGTTTTAATAAAGAATGAATTGAATACATCATACTACGTAATCATCGGAAATGTCACGTGAGGATCTCTATTTTTTTTATTAAATCATTAACCAGCAATCGTGTTCTACTCCACTATACCCTAGGTTCATCCATGGGGGAGACACGTATTCAAATTATCTGCACTTGATGATTGTGCTATATTTATCGATCAATACGCTTGATAGCATAACGACTTGCCACTGCCTGTTTTGATTGACATAAAAACATCTTTCCCGTCAAAAATGTTTTAGGACATCGTTTTGTGGGCATGTCACTCCTTTTATATTGGATTTCTTGGAAACTTTCTCAATCGAGCGAACAAGCCGCCATATTGTTGTGAACGTAAACAATGAGGATGCGACTGGTTTGATTGGTTCGTAGAATCAAGCTACTATCAAGGGCAAATAATTTGAATACGTGAATACCCCATGGATAAAACTAGGGTAAAGTGGGGTGGAACGGCACTGTGGATACCGAGGATGAGTGCACCCCCTTCATTATCACGGTTGAAGCTTATTCGATAATAGCAACACCCGAGAAGTAAAATTGATGGCTTGAAAATATATTCCCAGTCGGCCCAGAATAATAGGACGTTAAACCCCATTTTATTTGAAAATATATTAAAGAATGGTGTCTGTTCATCACCCGTGTCTTCTGTGTAAGGCAATGTAAAGTCATCCATTTTATACATGGATGATTGTAAATGTCGTTTAGAGATACATTTTAATCAACTACTCTGAATTTTAACACGTGATCAGGACGGGAACCCATAGGTTTTCACTACAGATGGGAATGTTGAAAGTCACGATTATATGGCACAGACACAGGGTATAAAATGTGATTTTTTTTTTTAAAAAGTAGTTTCAGTGCAACTATTACACTAAAAGACATGCCAAGGTAAGGTTGGCACCTGAATGTTGAGGATCACCTTAAAGTATTAGACAAAATCCCCTCTAGTCAAACGCAATTCAAAACAAACAAAAATAAATGAACAAGAATAATTCTAGTGAGGCCTTTTTAATGATTAATATGTACAAAATGATTTTATAGTTCAACATATTTTACAAATGGGCAAAATGGAGAATTTATGCGATCTTTTTCAACCAGACTTCGTTGTGTCTGTTAGTTTTAACTGAAGGACTATCGTAGGTGGCTGTCATAAAGTAAGTATTGTCGTATGATTGAGGATTGTTGATATTGTTCACCAATGTTTGTAACTCTGTCATAAATATCTGACCATTTGCATATCCACTGAAAGACCTGCAAAAAACGTTAAAAATTAGGGGATATTCAAAAATTACATACGTTAAAGAAAGACTTCTGGATAAATTGATCTTGAGTAATACATTTACTGACTAATATTGGAGTTATCTTGAACAAAGATTTTTTATATCTCATCAAACATGATTGTCAAATCTCAATACAAGCCAGCCATCAATAATTTTAAATGTGAACCAAATAGGACGTCTTGTTGATTGGAATCCCTGGGTTATATACACAATTTTACATATTTATCTCATCAAACATGGATGCCAAATCTCCATACAAGCCAACCATTAATAATTTTAAACGTAAACCAAATAGGACGTCATGTTGTTTGGAATCCCAAGCTGATTCGACTACAAAAATTTTTCGCGGGTTAAGCGGAAGTTATTTTCATATCTATCCCAAGTTTCTGTCTTGCAATTATTTGAGGCCAAGATCAGTATGGACCAAACATGTATGAGTGAAGACTGTATGAATTCGTAAAAGTAAAATCTGTGAAACTACTGGATTTGTTTAGTCCACCATATAACATTAAAGATACATTATGGGAGATTAGATAAAGAGCTGACAGTTCTCACTATAATAGTTAAAAACTAGATAATGGAAAGGGAATTTGCTGTCAATTTCGGTCAAATTGATTCACTCTGAACCGAGATTTTAGCAATTGAATTTTCGGCCTAACCTCGATCATCATTACTAAAATCGGTACGATAAAAGAAAACATAGTCTCTATTATCCATTTCATGATTAAATTATGAATAGAAGTCAAACAGCAAATCGAAACCTAATCCAATAAACATCGCAGGCTAGCGATGACATCAAGAGTTGATTGTGGTCTGGATAGGTTAATTAATGTCTAATTAATAGTTTATATAACATTTAAAACTTAAAAAAGACCTGCAATAGGCAGATTTAGCTCTTGCATAACGTATGTTTAATGTATACAGATTTGTTGATATCTTACCTGATATAGTAAGTAGCTGGTGGGATAGTCATTAAACTAACAGTTGGATCAATTGGTCTAGGGATATTAAGAGAATTACCAGCAGGAATCATAAAATGCATTGTGTATTTAGTTCCAACTTGACCCGCACTCTCAATTCTTGTTAAAACTGGTACCGTCATTTGCATTACTTGCCCTAAATTAAACAGAGTTTAAATTGAAAGGTCAGCAATCGTAGTAGCATGGACCAAAATCAGATTTATCCGTTGCTAATAGAAACCATAAACATTTCGAGTTCAATATACTGCCGTTATTTGATTCATAGAAGATTAAGCTAATTTTTAAATTTTGATATAACTTCAAGAAATTCCAAGACTTTTCTGTTAGCAAACCATTATATTGTGGTTCATCTTTATTACAGCTATCGATATAAATATCTTCGATTTAAAGTCTTTGAATGTAATTTTAGGGTACACCTTCAAACTACGATATCGTGAATGTGGAATCTCTAGAAGAAATATCAGCCCAAAAAGGTTCGATTCCGTTCAGTATTTATAAAGATATTATGAACTGGAAATTTGTCAACGTTCAGCATCCCCCGCAGGCGATATATACGGGATATGCTCATAACAAGGTAGCGCTGAAATATTTTGATAGACCACTATTTAATCCGATTCAAACCAAGCTCGGTGATTATCTACAGTTGATATTTTTATTTTATTTTCCTAATTCAATTTTAAATAATAAATTTGAGGACATTATTGCATGGAATGGACTGTGCAGAATTTGATATTTTCCTCAAATTCAAATGATTCACAGAGACGCTAAATAAATTACTATTTTTATGGAGCAATATCTTACCCAAAGTATTGTTTCCCTGGATATAATTAAACAAACGACCAAATAGTTGTCCAAGAATATTAGATTTCCATTGTCCAACAAAAGATGTAGTTGCCCATGTTAATGGTCCATAATGTCTGACATCATAATTCTGAAAGTAATTCGACAATTAGATTATTCATTAATTTATCAATTTGTTACCGGGTAGTCTTCATAGATGCTATACCTTCATTGCGAAAGAAAAGCATCCCCAAGAAGAAAATATGTACACACGCTTGAAAACTGAATGCTAGCAAACAATGGGAGGAAATGTTATCAGGACGTGACACCGCCATTTTTCTGGGACGACGCCTGGTGAAGGATATCTCTACTAGAACAAATGGTGGTGACACGTTGCGTTTTAGGAGTTTACATAGCTAGTGATATTTTGTTTTATTGTAGTAGCATAACAAAAGAGTGTCTCCTTACTTGAGTTGATGATATGGTTGTAAACATGGGACATTCCGCACCTTTACAAAAAGCTGGCGCCTGAGCAGACACATATCCTCCCGATACACACAAAACGGCAATCAGTAAATACATCATGGTTATTGGTAGAATTCTGAAATGTTAGAGGAAATATTCATCAAGTTACTGGTATAGCCCGAATCTATAGGAGAAGAACAAATTTGGAAATGACTACCATTTTGGTAGTGTTTCTACTACTGTTTCATAATGCTTGTACGCATACTCAAATTAAAATCAGGAGGCTATATCCAAATTTGTATGTCATAGTCACAAAATATCAGAAGAAATAGGCGCTAAATTCACCAGAAACATTCGAAACAGTGTTTAGTATTTCACATGGATAAAATATAGTTTTTGATAAAAAGAGAACCTGAAGGATGGTTAATTTAAAGAATGGCTTACCTTCTTGAACAAGATTCAGTAATACTACGATAACTATTCACAACTGTCTTCCACTCTTATATATCCAAAGAATGTCGTAGGCGGCGTTTATGTTTTGGTTGTTTTTTTTGATAAATGGCGGGTGACATATTGCCTACTTGACAGCCAGTGGTTTTTCAGTCGGTCTTGACGTCCACGGAGTCAGAGAAAATCTGCTGTCACTCATATGCATTTCATGACAACGACAGGTAAAACTCATTACCTATCCCTATTGGTCAATCGTAAATTACCTGACACGTTAAAGGGGTACTTAACTACAATTAATCAAAAATGAAGATTAATCGCTACATGGCTTTGATCCAAAGCAAGATAGATGACGTTATTTTGTCCAGTTTTACCGCATCAATTTTCATGTTTTATTATGGAGCACCTCACATTACGTCATCGTCATGTTGTGAAGGATTTTGTCAAGTCAGCCATTACATAACTCACAGCATAACGGAAGTCGCCATTACGATTTAAGACAACCGGTGTATGTATTCGGTTATTTAGTTTCCTGCCTTTTTGATTTATAAATTGATTTAGCTTGCGAGGTAACTATCTGTATATGCTTTTAAGCTTTTAAGTCTACAGATACAGTCACGTGAAACTGAAAGCTTTTAAAACAAAGAATGAAACTACAATACGTTAACAAATGACGTTAATCTCTTGAAATGAAATCAATTGACCTTGCTCAAAGAAGTCTTGATGGTCAGTATTGTGAAAAGTCTCCTTTCCAAAACACAATAAGCACCATTTAGACCTTCTCTTTTTTTCAAACGCTTTCTTTTTGTTCAATCATTTTACCATTAAGGGATTTTTTTTTAATAATCTGAAATGATATAATATAGCGATTTGGAAAAATTCATTCGAGTTCTGAGTAAAGCAATGAATGGCGTTATCTTTCTAATTTTTTGCACAAATCCGGCTGAAGAAGACGGGCATATTACGCCATGCAGTGTGAACTAAGAAAAATTTTGCCAGCACAGCTGTGTGTACGCCTATTCTTCACTGTTCAACCCGAACAGCACCCCTACACACCCGTCATTTCCCACACCTGATTAAAAACTTCCATTAAATAAACATTTTATCAATTCTGATTTGAAAGAATGCATGAAGAAAAGAATTCACAAATTATAAAATCAAGCAATATAAAAATTATATATAAATACTTATTGTAATTAAATGTACGATTTTAGAGAAATAAAAATAAGATTATCCGAATCAGGCTGTAATACAGATTATACGGGCCGTCGTGGCTCGGTGAGTAAGGCGCTGGCTTGCTAGCCTGGAGGTCTCTGGAATTCCCGGTTCGGTTTCCCCTTTTCAGTGGGGCAGTACAGCTGTCTAGTCGTTCGGGTGGGACGAATAATCGGGGTCCGGTGTACAGTTTAGCGTGCACGAAAAAGAACCCTTGGCAGTTGGAATTCGATATAACAGTAGGCCGTAGCGCCGCTGTCCAGGCAAAATTTCCCCCATAGCACACTGCGTGGCGTATGCCCGCCCTCATTAGCCCTTCGAGGCAGAACAATGAGACGTTAAACCCCGTTTCATTTCATTCCAGATTATGGTGTAGATGTATACATTTTTAATGCTGATTTCAATTTGAAATGAAAACACCCCATTCACAACAATTCACAATGATGTTTAGGGCTGTACAAATATATTTTGCTGAGGCGTTGGTACAGATGTGATACTACTCCAGGCGTCCCTATAAATATCAATTCTATATATCAATTTATTCATGATCTGTGAATCTTGTCGTAGCTAGGTCAGACACAGATGTCGGAATAGGATATCCAGTTTGTTTCTAATTTTCGACTACAATTTTGGTTTTCAGGACTATATTTACATTTATCCGTTTATACACCTGTATATCGCCATTTCTTGATATTGATATGAGTTGCCTATACCCATTATAACAAAGACGCATATTGATTTTCAATAATGCTTTCAAATTTATCCCCACCCACTCCACTTTGTAACGAATTCTTGTTACCCGATCTTTCTTAAATTTTATATTTTTGTCTATCCTATTGAAAGAAAGACCCTAGTTGCTTGTCAACGATTTTCGATAATGAATAGAGTTTCCCCCTCTTTTACAAAATATCATTGTCATCTTAGAGACTTATTTATTTTTCGAATTTTATTTAATTCATTCAAAGAAAGAATCTTTCAGATTTTCAGTTACTCCCCTTTTCTGTGACGTCTACGACCTACGTCGGTCTGTTTGTCATATATCTTCGGAAATTAAACCGGTTTGTCGGTCCTATTAAAAAATAAGAAAGCTGTGCATTTTCAATTATTCCCCTTGTTCCGACATTTTGATTGCTGTACAAGTTCAGTTATGATTCAAAATGCATATTGGTTGTCTGTTGAAAGAAAATAAACCTATCGATTTTCGATAATAACTTACACGGTTCTTTCCTTTTATAGGCTACAAATTTAAACCCCTTTCTCGTTTTTATATGTCCACATTTTCATGTGGACGTATATTGTCGTCGCCCCTGTCCTTTCGTCCACAATTTGTTTGAGGACACTCTACAGGTCACAATTTTTTTTCGAGTTTGACGAATCTCCCAAAGATCTCGGTTCCTTTCGGTATTGGCATATATCAGACCATAACTTCATGAAGTATGCACTGTAACAAAAATTTCCGTGAAAAAACGTACAAAATTCCGGAAACAAAAATTACCAGGAAAATTTTATCCGTATTTGTTTTTCCTGTAATTTACAGAAATTCCTTCAATTAACATAAATTCCATTTTCAAATTCAGAAAAAAAAATCCTGGTAAATTTTCTTTCCTGAGCATGAAGATGATAAAAATTTCATTGAATTAACCATTGACTTTATACCCGTGCGTCAAATAGGTTTATCTAACGTCCGCTTCCACCGAAGTGATATCGCAGATAATCTTTAAACATAACCTCTTTTCGCTAATTTATGAATCGAGAGCAAGGTATCACAACCCGCCACTGGTTGGAGGCTTTCAGTGGTGGACTCTGCTATAGAGACAACCTGACTTACACTGGCCAACGGGTTGTACTATCTGGATTTAAGCCTGCTTGATTACCAGATATTACAACCTTACCTCACGAGGCATTAAAACATATTTTTACATATTTATGAAAATACTTACAATCTGATTTCCGTATGATGAATAACAATACACTTTATAGATCTTATAAATAATGGAAATTAGATATACATTTCAATTAATATACCAAACGTTACAAAATATGATTCTTCATATTATGGTTAATCCATTGAAATGAATACTATAACATGATCATTATTATAAATGATTATATATGTATATGATTACTTATCGTTGTACCGCTTATCCCATAAAATAACAGAATTAAGTCCATTACAGAACGGAATAAAACATTTTATCCCTAAATTTCACGGAACTTCCTTGTCATTCCACCGTTTATTCCGTAAAATAACAGGATTAAGTCCATTATAGAAGGGAATAAAACATTTTATCCCTAAATTTCACGGAAAGTTCCTGTTAAATACTGAATATTCCACAGAAATATATAAAACACGTAATTTGAAGAAATAATTCATGCTTTTAACACAATTTTACCAAAAAAATCCTTCGATTATCGGCCACATCAAAAATGGATATTTTTTTACAGTGTGGCCCCTGATTGTACGAAAAATCACGTTTTTAGCTTGTGGACACTCTAGAGGTCACAATTTTTATCTGATTTTGATTAAACTTGAAATGCATGTTTATAACCCAAAGATCTTGGTTTCTTTCGATATCGGATCGTAACTTCCTCAATTATGACCCTTGATTGTACGAAAAATCACGTTCTTAGCTTGTGGTCCCGCTAGTGGGATTATTTCACCGTTACACCCTAATTTCGTGGAAATTGAACGAAAATGGCCGGACAAAATGGCCGCCCCTCGTACGCAAATAGTGTAAATATATGGTATATCAAGGTTGTGGACCCTCTAGAAGTCACGATGTTGATCCAATTTTGTGAAACTTGAAATATATCTTTATAACCCAAAGATCTTGGTTCCTGTCGATATTCGCACATATCAGATCGTAACTTCCTGAATTATGGCTCTTGATTGTACGAAAAATCGCGTTTTTGTTTAGCTTGTTCTCTATCCATCTCTTATTCATTGTCTGTCTGTCTTTTTAAAAGGTAGAATTCTATTGATTTTCCCCGATTTTGAACATAACTTCAATTGTTATTCTAAATTTTGTTAGATCTATTAGGCTTTAATTGTGATTTGATTGCATTGAATTGTTGTGAATTGCTTTGCTCATAACTGTCTGTATGACATTGGGCTCATGCTTCGTTGCCTGGCAACCTTTTATTTGCTTAGTTCCACTAATATTTACTGTTAAAAGATTCATAGCTGTAATGATTCTCTCACACAGTGGCGAATATGGTAGCGAATGTGCTTACGATACAATTCGCCACTAATTCGCAATGACCACAAGGTGGTCTCCAGACATTTGTAGGTGTTCGTGAGCATTCGCGTTGGTACATGGGGTGTTAGGAATATTCGCAACACCTTCGTAAGTAATTACAAGCCATTATAATTGATGGCAAGGCATTTGTAGTGATTGTAGGGATATGTAAAGATTTACCTTTCTTCCCCGTACAAAATGGCTAAATACTTTCGAAGGGAAACAAAAACAATGCACACTTCCCGGAGATGGGTAGGACGTGGGGTCGAGAGTTCTTTTAAGTGTAAGCCAGTGCATGCACGATCTATCCTTTACTTTTCGTCTCATCCGAACGACTAAAAATTAACAGAACTAAAAGAGATATTTCATGATAATATGTATGTACAAAATGATTTTATTTCAACAAATTTTACAAATGAACCAAATAAGAATTTATGCGATTTTTTTTAACCAGACTTCGTTGTGTCTGTTAGTTTTAACTGAAGGACTATCGTAGGTGGCGGTCATGAAGAAATTATCGTCGTATGATTGAGGATTGTTGATGTTGTTCACCAATGTTTGTAATTCTGTCATAAATTTCTGACCATTAGCATATCCACCAAAAGACCTGAAAAAACGTAATGATGAAAAGTAGGCTTTAAAATGTGTAATACTCAAAAATTGTTTATGTTGTTCATTTTAATTTGGGAAGTAAAAGTGAATTTTTTTACCTATTGTTTTCACTACTACAAACATTTTGCATGAAAAATGCCAACATTTCTGAGATCTTGTGCATTCATTTAACTGAAATGGTTTAGTTCAACATATAACATGTTGATAATTATGTTGATAACTTACCTGATATAGTAAGTAGCTGGTGGGATAGTCATTAAACTAACAGTTGGATCAACTGGTCCAGGGATATTACGAGAATTACTAGCAGGAATCATAAAATGCATTGTGTATTTAGTTCCAGTTTGACCCGCACTCTCAATTCTTGTTAAAACTGGTACCGTCATTGGCATTACTTGTCCTGAAATTATTTTGGATTGAATGCTATTGATAAATATTATTAGATTGTCTCTATATATATAGTACGGTTATTTCGTTGAGTAAGGAGAACTAGAAGATTCATCTAATATGTAATGCCTTGGCAAAACATAGAATGATAGGCAACAGGAAATATATACGCACTTGGAAATGAGGTAACAGCAATTTAGCTGATTTGCAATACGTCAATATATGAAAATAAATGATAAATTACCTTTAAAACGTCAGGCAGTAAAGTCAAATCTAATTTATTTCCTTTTCGATCTCTAAGTAAGATGATTGTCAAAATTTCAATAAATTAATACTTACCCAAAGTATTGTTTCCCTGGATATAATTAAACAAACGACCAAACAATTCTCCAAGAATATTAGATTTCCATTGTCCAACAAAAGATGTAGTTGCCCATGTTAATGGTCCATATTGTCTGATGGCATAGTTCTGAAAATGGTTAAATTGTTCATTAATTTATTAATTCGGTATAATAAAAGTTTTACAATAATCCCCACTGCAATGCCTCTATGTCCATTCTATGTTTTATATGCCCATATATATGAATACAAGAAAACAACGTCTTACCTGATTTGATGATAGGGTAGTAAACTGGGGACATTCAGCATTTTTACAAAAAGCCGGCGCTTGAGCAGATACATATCCTCCCGATACACACAAAACGGCAACCAGTAAATACATCATGGTTATTGGTAGAATTCTGAAATGTTAGAAATATTTTATGACAGGTATTGGCGAAGTTGATGAACTTATAAGTTTCTGTGTTTGAATTATTAAATGGTTACTGTTCAAGTTGATAGAAGTGTGCATGAGATATGACAGGATTAATACTCTTTCAAAAATCATGAAAATTTGGCCTGTCCAACTAATTCAGAAATTAAAGAATGACATACCTTCTTGTCCGAGAGTCAACGATATATACTAATCCTAAACTTTTGCCCTCTTATATATAAGTCAAGTCACGTGAGGGCGGAGTTTTGTTTATTTTGATATATTAGGTAAAATGGCATATTTTCTGTTGGTAAAATCATCGGCTGTCACTCACGTACATTTCATAATAACGACAGACTGGTCAATCCTACCTATATCGTATAGTATAAATTGTATGTTATTTTACAATAAATTAAAAATGAGAAGATAAATGGTACACTTTGTCCAATATTACCGCATCAATTTTCTTGTTTTATTAATGGGCACATCACATTACGTCATCGTCATGCTGTGATGGATTTTGTCAAGTTACCGATTATAACTCACAGTATCTCAGACGTCGCCATTACAATATACGACAATCTCCGTATATTTTTGATTAGTTTGTTTGTTGTCCTATTTGATTTGGGTAAAATATATAATTTGCAATTTACTGTATTGATTTGTGGCAATATTAAACTTTTAATAATTCAATTTAGGGTTATGGTTAAAGAGGTAAAAATGGTAAACATAATTGAAAAATTACTTTCCAAAACGAAATAAGCACCATTCAGACTTTCCCCGTTTTAAAGCTTTATTTTTATTCCTTGCACCTAACACATGAATAAATGAAACAAAAAACATTAAACATACATTATGTAAGAGCTAAATCTCCCTATTGTAGGTCTTTCTTAAAGGGCCAATGGCGATAATATTTTGGAGAATAAATTTGTGTTAAAATCCCTTAAAATCATCTCTACCTTTGGGCCAAGCAACTAACTCAATATATGTGATACGTTTTCAAGCAACTTAAATCCGTCAGTCTCCATCTGTAAATGGAGACCAGTGTCCCAAGCTGTATTATATGGTGTCTGGATAAAACCAGACTTTTATTTTATAAGAATAAGGTGTAGGTGAAATTTACCTTTCGTTATCAAGTACAGCACATGTATCATTCACGGTATAGACATCTAAAGAAACCGGAAACCGATTATCAGGTCACCCATTGAAAAAATTGACCCGAAATCTTAAAAGGGTTACGTGTCCGAATAAGCAGTTTTGACGTTCACGTCCAAACGACTCCATATTTTGAGCTGAAATTTTGAGAAAAGGTAGATACACCACTCCTCGATATTTTGGCGCTTAAATTCCATACGTACTCGGACTTTTATTTGTAAGACTCTGTTCAAATTTAAACTATTAATTAGACTTTTATTAACATGGCAAGACCATAATTAACTCTCCATGTCATCGGATATCTTCGATATTAAGTAGATCTGAAAGGTTCAGCCATATTTTGATTTAATCTAAAAAAAAATGGTGAAGCGAGGCTAAGCTTCGAACAACCAGTGCGGTGGTGGCAATCAATGCACACATCTTGTCAAACCTTCAAACGCTAATATTTTCAATAAATTCATTTTGCATAATCTATTTTCGAACTATTATAGTAAGAATGGCCAACACTTTATCTAAATATAACATAATGTATCATCTTTAATATAACAGCATAATCATTTTGCTGTTGATATTTTCAAAACAATGATAGTTGTAAAATAGATAGCGTTTTACAAAAGTTCTCCTCAAGTTTTGCGCTTTGAATTCCTCTGATAGATTTGAGTTAAAAAAAAATGAAAGGAAGCGAAATGGGGTTTAACTTCACACCTTTCAGCACAAACCGGGGTGATGACGGTGGGTATACACTATATACTATATGGTATAATTAGTCAACGTAGGGTAATAAAGAGAAATAAAAATGCATTTCAAGATTTCTTGAATCAGTATCAACAATAGCGCGAATTTCTAGTCCATATAGCTAATTAAGTGGCTGTTGTATTAATATGGTATATTTGTGGAATAATTAATATCTTCACATACATATTTAGGAAAATTTATTTTATATTTACTGTCAAATTAACAGAATAATTTCAGATTATCTCATTACCTTAATAAATTATTAAGGAAAATAGATAAATGTGCTGGAAGTATATCTGGATAAAGATATTTTAGAGGTAACAGGGTATGTTAGTAACAGGCCAATTGCCTATACATGAACATAAACAGTTCACATGCAAGGGTGGCTTATCTGACGGCCCCATTTCACTCGCAAAGAGATACACTGTCAAAAGCGATAATGGGCGTTTTTTATTTTTGTCTTAATAATGAGTAATTGCTCCACCAATCCTCAGACGTTGAGCAATTAGCCGTGGCATGCTCAACCGTCCACCGTCCAATCACGATTTGGGACAATCTGACCCACTCCTCTTGCAGTGCCACGGCCAATTCTTGCAGTGTTGTCGGTTGACGTTGACGTCGACGGACACATCTCCCGATCATGTCCCAGACATGCTCTATAGGGGAAAGGTCAGGACACTGGATTTATCATCTTGAAAGATGAAACGTCGACCTGCACGTTGAGCAAAGGGTAGAACTACCGGTGCCAGGATGTGGTCACGGTAGTACACACCAGTGACCCTTCCTTGAACAATATGCAAATCCGTTGTGCCAGTCATGGTGTTTCCTTCCCACACCATAACAGACCCACGCCCGAATCTGTCATGCTCTCTGACGTTAACGTTAGCATGACGCTCATTTACACACCTCCAAACGCGAGCACGCCTATCTGTGAAATTCAGAGTAAATCTGGACTCATCTGAGAACATTACACGCGCCCATCGACGATTACCTCAATTTCTACGCTGCATACACCATTGACGCAAAGATACGCTAAACAGTAAATCTTATGCAAGAACCGATAGGAAAGCAAACATGGATAGGATAAACCAGCACGCGGCAGTTTTCATCAACCCTTCCTTGAAGTGTCAAATTTGACAATGAACCCCTCCCACGTGTATGGCGCTATTGCGTGTCGCAGGTGCAGCTCTGTGGTTCTGTTGGGGCGATAAGTTCTTCATCTGTGAACATACTCTCAAAGCATGTCAAGTGTCCATGACTATTTATCATATCACAACCTGCATAGATATTTGCATTTCAATATCTCTTACTTTTTTTGAAGAGTATAACACAACATATTTCTATGGATAACAATCACTATACACACGACGTTTCGACAAGATTTCACTGTAGTATGCGAGGGCGAAAAATGAGTAAAAAACACCAATTATGCCCTGACTAACTTATGTTACTACGTCTGATATAAACAACGCACATGCTATCGACGCTTTTGATGTGACGAAGACCTATTCTGCACGCAAACTTAAAGGTCTTTTGCAATACGTCTGAGAAACATAGACCTAATCTATTTAAAATATAATACCGACATCTTAACAATTTGTATCTGTGGTATTATGTAATATTAGTTAAAATATTTGTCCTTCTTTTATGATTATTATTATACCCAATTTGCAGCTAATTTTAATTAACCATGTTCGACTCGTCGATTAAACAAAAGAGTTAACTGTATTATAGCACCATGGGTCGTTTGTCAGACATGGAGAGCGGTCGACGCTAAACCCGGTCGCCACATCGGCGTATAACCCATGCATCGTTTCTTACTACATATTTAGGAACAGCCCTTGATCATCTAGGTGTTGGTTGGCTCTAAGTCTGACCTGGCTACTATTGTGTTTTCTTACGATACAGAAATCAAATAATATAAATAACAGGAACAACCATAGGTTTTTGCTTTACGTTTTTATGTCACAACAGTAACACAATAGTCGACATTAAAATATTTAAAATTAACATCACTTTCTCTCAACCCCACTCTTGTAAAAGTCTAACCAGCGTGCCTAGACTCAAGAAACCACTTATACATTGTGAAATGGTCGTCTAAAGAACCCAATGCGTGTCTGATCCCTAAAGAATCCAATGCGAGTCTAAAAAATTATTCTAGCCCCGCTCTCTCTTATAGGTGCCGAATGGCGTAGACTAATTCGTAATTTTTAACTCATGTGTATTTCAAACAATAACAACTTATCCTTGAAAAATGCATATGACCAACATGTTTACTAAACTATAGCTGCGTTAACGTATCTAAATAACCAGCATACTTTCTATATTTTTGGTTATGAACTTAGAATCAGTAATATTATGAAAGATAACACTATCGTTTCCGCCATCATATTTCTCCATCCGTTGTCTTTAGACCCCATGTCCTGTTATTGTCACAATATGTCATAAACATTTATTCAGCTTCTGGCGTGATATTATAAATTCAATAGCATTACTAGCTTAATGTGCGGTTTCTTGTCTCTAATATTGTCGAGTTATGAAAAGAGCGAGATTTTACATTTCCACTATTAGCCACCATAAAAACAGCCCCATCTGTTAGCATATTTGGGAATACAATTACGAAAGTAAGTTGTCCAGTATATTCTTTAATATGTAAGTAAGATGTTGCATGCAATGTAGCAATCATATTAGCATATGCACTTAAACTGTTCGGAGTTAAAATTGTGTTCTGCATTTCGCTCCATATGTTTTAACATTTAAAAGTACATTAGTAAATTAGAATAATCATAATATAATATATTTCAAATTCGAATAAATCGCCAATTTAATTACTATTCTATGTAAGTGAGAAGTTACGTGCATTGAAGTAAACACGCATTGGCACACGCATTAATAGGTTAAGAGTTTTAATTAGGCCCTATGTCGTTAATTCTGTGTCATACATATAGATAGCTACAGCGAACACGTCTTTATTTTCAATGTATAGATGTTTATGTTGTTGCTAAGTAGTATGTGAATGCGACCGCCATTGACAAGCTAATAATTATATACTATTTGACCGCCTACAGCCCGTCTAATTGATCGGCTGCTCATAAGCGGTGTCAAGGTAAAATACACACCCACATATTACCCCCTATCTTAGCATGGTAAAATTACGAGATGTAAAATCCATATTTATATTAAAAGATGCTATTGTTTCGAAAACCAAATAACCACAGTTCGCTTTGTAACCATTTGTTATAATGAATAGGCCTTTGGTCGGACCTGCCACCTATATCGGTTAATAGGGTTGCGGTCATTTTGAACTGGGGGTAAATATTAGGTCATCATAAAGTAACAGAAAAAAATACAGGTAAGAAACCTTATGTAAACTCTTTGAGTCAATGATGTATATTTTTTAATCTATTTTGATTTCGTTTCATTGCGTCGTGGCTTTTGTACAACGTTCAATTTATACCAGTAAACTGATTGTAGCAGACCTAGGTCGATTTTTCACACCCGTTTTGTTTACATGTAACCAATGTATTTAGATAAGTACACATGGTCAGAATTAAAGCTGAACTGTGCTTGACAAGGTGTATATACTGGATGTGGGCGTGTGTGTGTAAAATTACTTTATTTAACGTCCGCTTCCACCGAAGTGATATCGCAAGCGAATAGCCTGCCTATCTTCTTATACCCGTCATCTACAGTCGATATGTTTGTTCTACAAATTGAATACAAGTATGGCGACTTTTATGATTATTTATTCAACCCATTGAAAACTGTATTAAAGGTGCGATGGTTTTACAGATATCTCAAAAATAAAACAAATATATATTATATACTGTACGAAATTATAGGTCACAATGATTATTAGTTTAACTGTATTTACCTTGATGTGCAATCAATAGAAGCAAATGTAAGCTTCAAAATGGCCATGACTAAAGTTAGAGTACCAATTTGTTTTTATTGTGTATATGTACGTAAACTCAATATATCATTTTATGAATACAAATATGTCTATGCTTAAAGATACATTATGGGAGATTAGATGAAGAGATGAAAATTCTCACTATAATAGTTCAAAACTAGATAAAGTAAAGGGAATTTGCTGAAAATTTCAGTCAAACTGATCCAATCTGAACCGAGAATTTAGCGATTGAATTTTAGGCCTAGCCTCGATCATCATTACTAAAGTCGGTACCATTAAAGTCGGTACCATAAAAAACAGTCTCGATTATCCATTTTTTAAAAAATTTAATCATCAATGAGCGTTGAGCAGCAGATCGGATTCTAATCCAGTAAATATCGTAGGCTAGCGATGACATCGAGAGTTGATTATAGTCTGGATACGTTAATTAATGTTTAATTAATAATTTAGATAACATTTCAGGCCTAAAGAAAGACCTGTAATAGGCAGATTTAGCTCTCATATAATGTATGTTTAATAAAACAGTTCAATTTAATTTTCTTGATTCATGTATTTTTCAGGTTAACGGATAGATCTAAAATTCTGATGTTAGATATTTTCTGAAACCAATCATACTATTGCTTTGACAGATATACCAACCACTTTACTTTAAATGTGTTATTATTAACCAAATACAAACCATATAAAAGAAGATAATAAAATAAAAATGGATGGTATCATACAGAAACATAATTTTATGAAAGTAAAAGATTCAGACATCGCCGATGAGTTTAATGAAACATTACAGGAATGGGTTGATGAACATGAAAACAAACTCAACACTAAAATGGTACTTGATTCCCTCAAAATCGTGCAAAACCAAGTTTGTCAGGATAGCTTTAGTCACGAAGATTCGCCACCAGGGCAAATGGCTACATACGCTTTTGAACACGTCATCTCTGCAATTGGGTAAGTCTAGTGAGTTCCTTTTCTAATTATCTCTCATTTTGCTATACAATTTTAAAGAACTGATTATAAATGCAAAATTTGAGACAAATCTGCCTATCAATAGACATTAGTTAAAATAGTTTTCAGAATCTTCGAGATCGCATTCTTCTTATTTTAACAAAACGACCATAAATTATATTTTATTTCTATATATATATACAGTGTACTCCTCTTAGGGAAACTTCTTATTTTTTTAATATATAGTCCACTTCTTGTAAACACGCTATACACTGTTTTTATCCTTTGGCCATCTCGACATGGTCATGACCAAAGGTCAAAATCGTGCATTTTCGTGACATGTATCTTCTCGTATCTTCGATTGCTATAAATTTCCAAATGACGCCCCTCCCTCAGAATTTGAGTATATTTCAGACGTTTCAGCAGTCATATCTGTTGGGTTATGCAATGCATTCGAACCAAACTTCACAGGCAGGAATATAGTAGAATATGAGTGCTACAACTTTGCGACGAAAAATCAAAAATTCTCTGTTACTAAGATGTGTTGTTTTGCAACTTTTGCTACGGGCGATCTCCATTGCATCTGTTTTTAAAAACTCTTCAGCCCCTGGACTCGTCATATTTTATGTCATATTGTCATATACTTTCTTGTTTTAGCGTATTGGTGGACAACGATAAAGCTAAATACATCAGTTTTTATGAAGCTCTATATAACTTTTTCATCAAACTTCTGTCGTGTGGCCCAGGTTCTATACATATTAAATTCATCGGAGAAATTATTGAGGCTTTTCAATTTCAAGACTATGTTAAGGTATTATTCAAGGTCTTAATCTACCTGTTGCAGGTCTTTCTTTAGGCCTTAAATTTTATATATACTATTAAAGATGCATTATTTAGGAGCTAAATCCGTTTTGTTTTTTGGGTTTTTTGGGGGGCTTCAAATGATATATAATTTAGAATTAATTAACATGACAAGTCTATAACCAACGCTCTATAGTCATCGGATGGCGCAGATGTTAACAGATTAAAATACGATCGCCATTTTAATGATTTAATTTAAAAATGGAGAAGCTAGGCTGTTTCTCGATTAACAAGTGACGTTGCTGCGATAATAAAAAATCTAAGTCAAAACTTCAAACATTGATGACTCGCCCAGAATTAAGTAATTTAAATGAAATATTTAATATATTGATTTTAAATTATCTATTTTGGAACTATTATAGCAAGAACGGCTCTTTATCTAAATCTTACATAATGCGTCTTTAAAGAAGAATACTATAGCCCGCGAACTATAATCGATTATTACACAATGATTAAAATTAAAGTCCTACTTAGTCTAATTAAGATTAGATTACAATTCTATTTTCATTATTTCATTATTTTTACACTATGATGTAGTACAGCTTAAAAATATATATGTCTGATTTTAATCAGGTCCAGTCATATTGCTTATTTATTCGCTTTCCAAAATATTTTCTTTGGACTGTTACAAGACGAGGTCACGCGTACGTAAAAGAACCATTGACGCTGACCGGGCAAAATTTCCCTCATAGCACACTGTGTGGCGTTCAACTGTCTCCATTAACCCGGTTGGGGCAGAAAAGTAGCACGTTTATTTATTCATTCACTCATTAAATCCAAATAATTACTCCTGTTTTCTATTTGATGGTGTAATAAAAGAGTCTCCCTGCTGACAAAATAAAACCTATTATAAGTGGTTTGAAACGTAAATATTCCACAGAGGACGGCACAGAAGACTATCACGATAGAGTAGACGGGATGATACGTCAGATTATAGACTATTTATTCAGGTACAGTAGACATATTATTACGCCATATAATATACCATTTATCAAAGTTACTTTATTAGACATACGACTATGTAATACTATAGACAATTCAAGATATAATTATGGATTATTTGTTTTATTAGTCTTGACAAGAAAGATTATGATAGACTCGGCTGCCAAGAACATGGTGTGATTTTGGTATATATCTCCTCGCAATTAATGTCACAGAAATGTAAAAAAACAAAAACAACTGACGCTTGAAAAATGGGTAAATTGTGATCGGCCTACACTACATCTGATCTCACCTTTATCGTATCGATTCCCCATTCCCTTTAAACTACTGTGATTGGTTAAGATCATTCTTGAGTTAGCCAAAAAGAAACAAAAGCATGGTCTAAGTTTAATTTAAATGAGGAAAGATTACATGACATCTCTTGTTTTTGATGAATACTAATTTGATAATGTATATGTTTTACAGTGAGGAACAGTTCAAAAAGTATGAAACAGAATTTGTGGAGTTATATGAATATTTTAAAGAAAATACAGACAATAAAGACCCTCAGATGAAATCAGTTTTGAGTGAAAAAGCTGATAGTATTGAATATGAATTAGGTGGAAATATATACAAGGTTTGCAAGTTTCCCTCATTCATTCTTAATGGTTTTCAAATGTTTTATTATGTAAGAGAGGTGGGTGGTGGGGTGGGACGAGTAACACGTGGTATTTTTCTATTCTCAATAACTCGAAGTGAAGCAGGCAATCATAGTCCTTATCACGTGCAAACTCGGGATCGAAGCCATGACTTGTATAATAACATGTGTTATGGTCAACACCCTACGGTTAGACCGCTTCTCACTTTGGGGCTCTGTAGTTTGAATCGAAAGGACAGCTTTGATAAAAGCCACTGCATTTTAATTCATGAATATGGGTTCTCTTTATAAATCAATCAACAAGTTTTTTACGTTAAGAAAGTTAAAGATTTAAATACAAAATAAGAATTTCCCACTAGGATATATGGTCCTTTGAAGAATAATTAGAGCTGTGGGGATATTAGCCGGTTGACTAAATTAGTTACCGATTTGGCGTAATTTTACTGCATGGTTATATTAGAAATGTTCAAGTTGAAACAAAATTTCAATGTTCCCAATCGTTGCTGAGATATAAACGTTTTAACCTTGAATGTACGCGTCATACAGGTTTAGGGCTTTTCAGTTGGTTGGTTCGTTCTTAGAATTTAACGTCTGCTTCCACCTTGGGTGATATCGCAGACAATTTTTTTTCAGTTGACTAGCTCATGGACTAAGGCATAAAAATTATAGAAACGGGATAGTTGTAAGCCATGTTAATATATTTACAACATTCTTAGGAATAGTTTTGATCTTAAAAATAATTTGGTTAACACGTTCTTCTCTGTCGTTTTATATTTAGGCCTTGAACAATCCAGATGCCATTAATAAACAGTGGGACAAGCTGTTAAAAATTGCCCTAGAGACAAATTTCCCAAAAGATGACGAAGATTTGGAAAGAGTTACCAAGCCACTGTCTAGTATTGTGGATGCTTTAAAGTAAGTATGCATATCAATGCATATCATAAATAAGAATCCTGACCCTTTTGACCGACATACTTTATTTTAACAACAATAATAAAAACCTGCATTTTGATGAAATCATTTTCTCTATATACGCCACTCTGTATGTGGTTCTCAGTAACAGTGATGCATAAAGATAAAAACTGTATACTATACAGTTTTTTTAATACTGTACATCATAACTAGCTTATTAAAGGGACAATAACACTCTTGCTGGCTTGAAAGCTCCAGAAAAAAAATAATATCTCTATCTAAGTACTAGATGTTTAAGTGTCCTACCTGTTGTGTAAATTACCCATTACATCCTATTTTACTTGTCCAGAGGGTTCGAAAATATTTTTAAATCGAAGTTTCATTTGAAAAGGTTTACGTTAGACGTTTCAAACCATTATGTTGAATTTTTCAAAATTTTTAAATAAAGTGTGTTAAGATGAAATTTGTATCATCAATTAATTGAAATATTCTAAAATAGTACAATTTGTTGACCAGAATAAAGATTAGGACATATTATTCAGTTACAACAAGAGTGGTATTGAGCATTTCTGAAACTATTATAGTGCATGACAATTCTGAATTCGGTAGACCCGTCCCTAAACCTAGAGTTAGTTCAATGTTCTATCTTCTGTATGATTAAAAGCGAAAGTTTGTTTATAGGCTCATTAAACCAAGCGATTAACCTTATAATTTTTAAAATAACTTTCCAATTAAGCGATTTGGTTTAAACAATGTTGTTTTTATTATAAATCCATCTCCACGTAAGTTAGACATATCAATACAAATAGTAACTTAATGGTGCTATTATACTTTATTTGGTGCTGTATTTATGTATGAAATTATGTAGACAATCTAGAATACTGGCCCGTTACCTTCAGTAAAACCCTTTATTTTTAAAGCAAATTCATAAGACCCCCCCCCCCACACACACACACACAAACACACCATCCTTCCTTAGTGTGATTAAGTATTCACGATTTGTCGGTGATTGTTTTACTTTTAAATAACAATATCTTTAAATTCAGGGAAAATGGTGTAACTGAAATAACGTGTGGAAAGATTATGAATTTTCTGATTGAACTGTTTAAAAAAAAAGAAGCTGAAAAGATTCATCAGATAGTTGACGATATTGGTTATTTCTTTTATCATTTAGATGAAGATAAGCACCCCATAAAGGTATGAATTATATTACAGTTATTACTAAATGGTAAGGCCAGCTCAATTTTTCGTCATATGTCACGAGATTTAAACAGGGCTAGCGCTAATCCCAACCCTAACGCTGGATCTAGCCCCAATGCTTACCCTAAACCTAACCTACAATCTCGTCAACAATCACGTGTCCTAATCTTATTTACACCTCAGCGACCTTGACAAAAATTGAGCTGGCCTTGAAAACAGCCTTATATTACAAACTATAGGCTACCATGGTTCCAATCAGGGCCGTTTTAACGCTTGGGCACTGGGGGGCAGTTATCGTGGGTTGTAACGAGAGTATGAGCTCCATGTATGTATGTTGTGACTTGCACTACGACATGTTTCTTATAATGTTTAAAAACCGATTTTGTTGGAAACATACACAATGGATATGTGTTTAACTTTATCGACCGTTTACATTTTCATTCCTATGAATGGTTGTGTACGTAGGGACCCCTGTGCACTGCTGTTAAGATGGCTGTAGTTCAAATATGGCTTATTTGAAGGCACGTGGTGGTTTGATCCCCGTTACACAAAGGCCATTATATTAAATGAGTTAAACGTTATTTCTTTAGATCAATCTAAAGTATTTAATTGAATTGTTTCGAAGAATTATATTTTTGGCTTTCTGGTTTACTCATTATATCCCAACATTAGTTTTATCTATATACGTCACAAGTAAAGGTCAATTAATCAACACACAAAAAATTCCCCAATGTAATCGATAATGACGACAGTTATATGTTTGATCCCAGAACACACGCCAAATGATCAGTAATTTCATTGTAAAGATTATCATTCCTATTTATATTACATGAAGGATAAGCTTATATTATAAAACAATTTATGACTCTGGTTAATCTCATTTTGATTTGTTACACACTGATTGATTGTTTGTTAAATCAATTAGACACATAAAATGTCACATGTTCAGTCCAGCAGAGCTTAAATAAAGAAAAACGAATAATTATAAGACTTGCGAGGTAAGATGCTAATGTGGTGTGAATGTTGCTCTGTGTTTTTTTATGGACTGGATACACCTTAACCACTTCCTTCTTTTGTCGACTATGTCATCCGTCGGTGTCGTGCAAAAATCCCAGCTTACTTTGGTTTGGATTACAATGAATGATGACATTGTCAAAAGCAATCTAAGAGGCACACGTCAGATCTCAAGAGTCAAACATATATATCATTGTATTATGTAGTTAAAAACTTCCGAGAGTACAAAAGAAAACATGTACAATGGACTGCAACAACGTAAATGACCATTTAAGTTATATTAAATTGATTGATTTGAATAATTTTGGACCTATTTATTCATGGCCCTGCTATCTTTTAAGCCCGTTCATCTGATAAAGATATATTTAACTATAATAAAGATACATTATGGGAGATTAGATAAAGAGCTGACAGTTCTCACTATAATAGTTAAAAACTAGATAATGTAAAGGGAATTTGCTGAAAATTTCAGTCAAATTGATCCACTCTGAACCGAGAATTTTTTGCGTTTGAATTTTAGGCCTAGCCTCGATCATCATTATTAAAGTCGGTACGATAAAACACATAGTATCGATTATACATTTTTTGATTTAATCATCAATGAGCATTGAGCAGCAGATCGGATTCTAATCCAGTAAGTATCCCAGGCTAGCGATAACATCGAGAGTTCATTATGGTCTGGATATGTTAACTAATGTCTAATTAATAATTTAGATAACATTTCAGGCCTAAAGAAAGACCTGTAATTTGCAGATTAAACTCTTGCATAATGTGATATAGGGGGTTAACAATTTTAATGATTCGCCAAGACCAGCATAGACAGGTTTTTGAAAGTCGTCATCCTGGGCATCCTTAATGTCAATATTATTCATATGGACGCGGTCGGTCGTGGGTGTAAAATCAAAAATAGGTTGCGATTATTTCATAGCTGAGCGGACGGTGGCTTGAAATTTGAATATTAGTTTCGTAGGCAAAATAATTATGCGGTTACGATTAAGGTTCAATTCGATCACTTTTCATGTTACTGCACCACAGTATTATTCTGAAATCCATACAACTAAATACATAGCTGTTTTAACTTGAACCAAAATGCATTTAGTCCCATTTGTAAATCCGGCAAATAGATTTATTTTCCAACTGACAACCACGTTGTTTTGGGGAAAACATGGTCGTTACTAATCAGCAATTTGAGGTCAAGGGATTTCATGTTGAATAATATATTTTAAAAGTCCTTTAACATCAGAAATGTATGTATAAATAAAAGACCGCAAGATTCCAGACTAATAGACATAAGTACTTTCAAACCATTCACAATAAAAAAAGGAGTTTTCCCAAAGGGCATACGATTGAAATCGGGCAATTCTCACGTTCCCGCTATTTTTCATTGATTTCAAACTGCCATCCCTTTTGCTCTTATACTTGTCAATTAACGATTTAAGAAGAACTATCTGAGAAACTGTTTGGGGTTGGCAGAGAACTTCTGTATTTATACATTATTACGATAACATGTGTTGATGTGTTGAAGTCTCTAGATTCGGTAATTGGTCTTTGGATTTGCATTTTTAGAAAAATGAAAAACTCTTTACTCTGGTGGCTAACAAGTTGATTGAATTATTAAAAGTCACTAAAAGCCAAGCTTATTTAGAAGTGAAACTAGTAGATGCTATAATATCTGAAGTTTTAATCAAATCTATGGGAAGGTAAGCATTTAGATAGTTGATATTACATGAAGAAATTGTATTGATTTGATTTATTTTACTGGATATTTTAATAATAGAAAGAAACCACAACTACCAATGTAACTGGTTATTTATACATATGGCGTTAGGGTTCTTCAACAAGTGTTACCACCTTCAATTATTATTTCTCGCAAAATCCTTATCAGCTTTTCCCCCGTATTGCACAATGTAATTTATTATAGCAATACATTCAGCCGTATCGTATAAATCTTGTCATGCAGAGCTTTATTTTGACCTAAATGAAAGAGAGAGAGAGAGAGAGAGAGAGAGAGAGAGAGAGAGAGAGAGAGAGAGAGAGAGAGAAATGGGGTTTAACGTCCACTCGACACAAACTAGGTCATTTCGGGACTAACATATGGTTTAATTTTATTTCAATAATTCGCTTGCGCGTAGGGGTCTTTAGCAGTGGGAGGAAACTGGAGGACCTGGAGAAAACCCACGAGGTTGGATAGGCGACCCTACTCCTTGTCACATACGACCGGGGAGACCTAAATGAAAGAGGTTTAGTTCCTTTACGCGCTGATATCTTGTTATTACAGCTCAAAAGAACATGTTGCTATAGCTATAGAAATAATGTCTATGTTGCTGAAATACCCAATAGAACAGTGTATAAATGCAGCTTTAGAATTTATTAGAGAAAAGGAAAAGATACTAAAATGGAAGGTTTGTTTTATTGATATATTATTTCCTTTCTTTCTCACTTTACCCATATTTAACAGTAAAGACCTGGACCGAATTAAAACCATAAGGGACCCAGGGCTCTGGAGATGATGGTACCCTTATTAATTCAAAGTAAAAGCGATATTGAAACATAAACTGTGACACAATGTGTACTACAATTAAAATACCCCGTTTTTTAATTTTCAACTGCTTGCAGATTAATGAAAGGAATATTATTTATTACAATACAAGTTTCCACAGAGCTTGCCATGTAGATTGCAGACATTGTGCTACTTGCAAGTACACCGTCAATATAATCAAGAATATTCGAAATTTTAGAACATTATTAGTGATATGCATGCATATGAACCATTTGTTCAAACCATTTTTTTTAAAACATTTACTTATGGCCCAAGCTTTCCTTGAAACTATCAGTTCAGTCAACATACCAGATAACAGTGAAGTTGTCAGCCAGTATGTGTTTAGAGCATTATTAGTGATACTCAGTCACGCAAATTTCTTGATGCATGCATATGAACCATTCCTTCAAACCATTTTTTTTTTAAACAGGAACATTTACCGATGGCCCAAGCTATCTTTAAAACTATCAGTTTAGTCAACATACCAGATGATGATAGTGAAGTTGTCAGCCAGTATGTGTCTTTTATGGAATATTTTCTAGCCCAGCTAAAGTAAGTATTGATATTTATAAAAATGATGTTTCCAAGTTGTTTCCCAGTTTGGAACATAAAATTATTTTAAGAGCAACAAATTAATACTTATTAGTCTATAATGGAATCCGTTTCCATACTCGGGAAAGTTATAAGGGTTTTCTGGAATTTGCTAGTCTAATTTTTCATGTTTGTTTTCAATTTTTTTTTTAAAAAGTTTGAATGTCTATACTACAGGAAATCTAAAGTTCTAGCTGACTTAAATGATGCTCTGATTAATTTTGCCATGGGTGTTCTGGTACAAAGAAATGAAAAGCTGTTCGAACTGGGCAGTGAAGCTTCAAGCTGGGGAACTTTTGATGTGAAGGTAAAACGTTTTTACATTTTTAGAAATGCCATTTAGTATATATATCCTTTTTAGATATATAGAAATAGCAAGGGAAGATTACTGAATATCTTACTCTAAATCTGATGGTTTCCTATGGTAGGTTAGTAACAATGTTTGATTATGGTTATTTATAAGGAGAATACACCATCCAACTTTTAAATGATATATTGTATGCCATTTGTCAGTGTTGAATATTATATTATACAGTTTCACTTTTAAAAACATTCTATGGAGATCGTTGTTTATATGTTCACAGAAAAACAAGAGTTTACTATTCGAGGTATTACAGAATCTTGCAAAATTATTTCAAGATGAAGAGTTCCCATGGAACACCAATTATAGTGACCAAGTAGCAAATAATTTTGTTTCAAGTTGTATGACCGCCCTTGAGTAAGCATAATTGTTTTCATCTTTAATGTAGTGTTTTTTTTCTTTATAGTTTTCAGATTTAATCGGTTTGAGATACGCATTAAGTTGTTCGTCTTAAGTCATAACAGTTACGTTTCCTTCTGTTTCTCTTACATCTGTTGTTATAAAGATTACTCTGACGTAATTAAGATTTGTGGATATCCGGAATACCATTACGTATTATGTCATAACTCATCCTAACCGCTGCAGTTCATCCACACTTTTAAAGGGATGTTTTATAATTAACTTTGTTTTATTTTTGGGGGTATTATTTGTAAGCCGGGATTAACATTCCAGAATATTTTCTTGGAATCCGGCAAACCTGTTCTTTTTCTTGCGGTGACACCAAGTTATTCAATACATTAGATGGAAATGAATCATGGACAAATTTGAAATATAGATCCATCTAATCTAGATTGCCATGTACAAAAATGGCGAGATGCTCAGATGATAGGAATAGTAAGACACTATCTTAATAATAGACCATTCTTGCTGATTAATAACTAATGCTCTGAGATATCACATTTTTTTCTACAGGAAGAATGGTAAAACTTTAACCAGCAATGAACGTGGTATTTTAATAGAGCTAGTATTAAGTATAATTGATAAAGATTTTATAGATGAAGATACGGGAGAAGTTGGCTCTGTCTACTTTTGCACTTTCTGTAGTGTATATCAGATAATTGAATTGGTAAATCTACTTTTATGGTTTTCCTATGTTTGGGATATTATATCCCTTGCTTGTAACACGACCGTTCGTTACGCTGTCTACAAAACAGCACTAAAAATAATAAGTTGCAATGTGCTGCGTCACTGGCGCTAATTCTTTGCTTCACGTTGGGTTTGGAAATGGCCTTCAACTTTTTGACTTTGGCACTGACTTCAATAGGATTTCAATATAACTAAAAAAACACCGTTCCTCTAAATTTTTATATCAAACATGATACATAGGTTCAAGCATAACTCTAATGAACTCATAACTAAAATGTCTTTCGGTGTCCCTCTCCTCCGCTCTAGCCAGAGCAGCTAACGTCTGAAACACTACATACTGTTCCTCTAAACACCTATCACAGGCACTTGAAGGTGAAGGGATTAAACTAAAACTTTTCATTACTGTTTGACTAGTATGAGGTATTAATACATAAACTCTGTCAAAATACACAATATTCTTTTGTATTAATGTTATTGTACAAATTTATGTAAATTAACATCATGATAATTTTACATGTACTCCATTTACAGATATGTGATTTTACCTTGGATGTATAATAGCTAGAGGTAAAGATACATTACAGACTGTGAAATAACATGCAATGTTAAAATACAGTTAAAACGATGGCAATATTTCTGCCGTTAATATAAATACTCACCCTGCACGTTTCAAGTCAGTAGCTTGAAGCGTATATATGGTATTAGTGTCAGTGGCTTGTGGCACGAAGTAACAGTATATTGTCGCATACATAATATATTATGTCAACGCTTGGGCGACATAATATATTGTGTTGACGCTCCAAGCGTGTTAGCATATTAGACCTGTAGACTCAGTGGAATGTACGCGTCATCAGAGCCATAGAAAGTGTCCCTGTAAATAAAAGAGGGCATCCTTATCAGAAAAAGGGCACCTGTGATGTCAGAATTTCAAAAAAGGGCACTTTTCTTTCGGATTAGGGTTAGGGTTAGGGTTAGGGTTAGGACACAGAAAAGAGAGAAAAAACAGAAAAGAAAAAAACAAGCATTCATTGGTTATCAAAGCGCCAATTAAATCTATCGTTGCAAGTTCATGCCTAGTCACCTCCATCCTAGTTCCAAGCGTTGACATAATATATTATATCGCCCAAGCGTTGACATAATATATTATGTATGCGACAATATACTGTTACTTCGTGCCACAGGCCACTGACACTAATACCATATATACGCTTCAAGCTACTGACTTGAAACGTATCGCCTGAAATACTGTTGTTTATATTGATTACATAATACAAAGAAGAATTTGTTGCCCATATAGATAAAACAAATATACTACAGCTTTTCTAACTAGAAATATTTATGACCACTGTAATCATTTACTACATTGTACATGTAGTATTTAATACAAACATATACTTTGTCTAACATTACAGTCCCTTAGGCCAATAATTCTTGCATAATATTAACCTTATGCTGGCGTATCACTTATGTTAAATGACAACTCGTTTTATTATTTACTACATTACACAACATCTTCAGGAAATGTCATTCGTAAACACGGCTTAACTACCAACTGTACACCGACCGGTTCGTTCATTCGTTCCTAGAGCTTTACGTACACTTCCACCAAGGGTGATTTCGTAGACATGAACAGCGACCGGACGACAGTCAAATTTATATAGCCTTTGAACCTTCTTCTGAACCATCTGAAATATTCAGACTTGAAGCCAGTGTTTATCAGACATTCGTAATTGGATGGACGCAAATGTCACAAATGACAAAACAGAAATAATGAAAGTCGCCAGCTGTCGGCAACTACTAAAATCAAAACTATCAAATTGGCAATATCTCTATTAAACAAAGAAATAGTACTAGAGAGCTTGGCGTTTTAGGGTTGTTTTTTGTCCACCGCCTTTCGAAGAAAGCAGGGGACTATTAAAATGGGTTCGTCCGTCTGTCTGTCTGCCTGTCCGTCCGTCCGTCTGTCTGTCAGCCTGTCTGACTGTCTGTCCGTCACACTTTTTGGGACACAATAACTCTCTTTCTAATTGAGCTAGAGAATGTTCAAACTTTGTGTAGGTGTTTATTAGGCAAATGCCTTGATGGAGTTCGAAGATGAGCATTTTCTGCTTAGGGTAAGCGGAGCGATAAGCAGTTTGATTGGCCGAGACTTTGGAACACAATAACCCTCCTAATTGAGCTAGAATGTTCACACTTGGCATAGGTGTTTATTAGGTGAATGCCTTGATGGAGTTTGGAGTTAAAAGGTGAGAATTTTCTGCTTAGGGTAAGCAGAGATAAGCAATCTGGTTGGTTGTTGCTTTGGGGCCAATAACTCCGAGTGTAGATTCATTATATCATTACCTTGACTAAGTTTGATGAGAATTTTCTGCTAAGGCTAAGGATCGATAAGCAATTTGATTGATCAAGACTTTGGAACATAACTCTGCTTTTAATTGAGGTAGAATGTTTAAACTTGATGTTGATGTTCATTAGGTGAATGTCTAATTGACTGAGTTCAATGATTAACATTTCGAGCTAAAGCTAAACAGAGCTAAGCAATTTCATTGGTCGATCCTTTGGGACAAAATAACTTTGATTCTATCTGATACAGAGTGATGTAACTTAGTGTATAGGTGATAATCAGTTTGATTGCTTGATACTTTTGAAAAATATAAATGTGTGATTAATTAATATGTGTCATCTATTTATTTTGGGATTTATGTAGCACCATGGGCCTTCTGTTAGACGCAGAGAGCGGGGGAACCAACTCCGGTCGCAACATCCTGCGTACGACCCATGCATCTTTTCTTACTACATTTATTATCTTAGTAGCCCTGTGATCGTCTAGAATTTGTCTCTAGCTGTCTTTGCTTCTGTCTCACGTTGTGTATGTTCTTCTTACTGTTTTCTTAAGACGTTTGTCTTCTCAGTAGTTATAACAATGCAACAGTTCATTTTTACATTTTATATATCATAGCTGCTTAATGGTACAATGCATAAAAGAATAAAGTCATTCTCAAACACTAGCCAGGCAGACTTGGCGAGTCTGCTGATATAGAAACTGTTACATCTTTCCCCTTCTGGAATCAAGCTGTTGTCTGACAATCGCCCACCAATATGATAGTTTTGTAGCTTTGGGCTTTGGACCTTCAATTGGTCAAATATGATGTAAATAATTACAGAGATTGGTCAAACTAAACCAAATGATGCAATAGGTAAATTTCCAGTCACATGTTTTATTTTTGACACAATCTATCCTTGAACTTAGACCCTCTTTCCTGTTATTTCCACACTATTTCATAAACAATTAATTTGCATTTTAAATAAACTCATACCATAGCTAATATACTGACAATAGAGAATAATTTGTAAAGATGAAAATATTGTTTAAACCATCTTATATCTCTATTCCTTGTCTATAAATTTAAAAACAATGTCGCAATGACGATATTACTACATTTCGGCGGGGGACATCAGCCTCACTGTTGGCTTGTTGACTATAGCCTTGATATGAATAAACAAATCTCGGTCAAGTGTAAAAGTATTAATTATCATAATTATTTATTATATTGGAAAAATTGGACAGTTTTTTTGATAGTGACGCGCCTAAAATGCTGGTACATATTATGGTTATTACTTATTACATCAGGGACCGACTACTGTCATTCACATTGGTACAAACAAAATAAAAATAAGCAACTTCAAGAAATCAGTTTTCAAATACATTTCCGCTCTGTATGACGATTCTTCACCTCAGCACACTAACAATCAGGCAACCTCTTAATTTAGCCTTTTTCAAAATTACTCCGGTTATAGATCCGTCGCAGTCAATTTTATGGAATTCGATATCAAATGAAATCAAATGAATGCGCAAATTCTACTAACAATTTCAGGCTGCCCGACGGGACTCTCATGTCCCATCATATAGTGAATACAATGTTGCAATGTATATAGTATGTGTATTATGGTCAGTATTTCATTATAAGTCAGTTTTAGGTAGGTCTAGTGCATTCTTAGTGCAAAGAAATTTGTAGAGTGCAGACATTTCATTGTCAAACACAAAATCACGGTGATGTTTTTGTAAAAAAAATCTTTGTGCATGTTTAAAGGCACAGAGAAAGTTCAAAGCAAGTAAAATGATTATGATTTTTTTTCATGAAACTTTATCCAAATCAAAACCCTTTCATAAAGTTTATATAAAAAATGGGTAATATTTGCAATTACTGCCATATTTTTTTTTTCGGTGGGACGTATCAGTCCCGTCAGGCAGATTGTACACCTATATGGGTCCTGGGACTCTGAAACTCTGAAGTACCAATGCGTTTTTTCCAAATTTATGTGACTTTTTTCTTTGCGAATTGGTTGATATTTCTGAATTTATCATTTATATAGATGATACAGAGATTTTCAATTACAGCTTGTCTGTGAAATGATATATGTTTTCAGAAAGTCGTGGTCGATGTAAGGTTTGTTCTAAGAAAAACATCGAATCTCGTCCTCAAAGTAAATGTGTTGCATGTAATGTATTCTTGTGCTGTAATAAATCAAAAAAATTGTTTTAACTATACATTTGTATTTCAAGTTAAAATTTCAAGTTATTAGTAGAAGACTCCCACGATTCAACCATGTTGGTAGTATGAATATGGACAGCCTTTTCATTTGTTTTTCAGCTTGATGCGGGTAAAGAAATAGATCGGGTGGAACCTTTTATCCCCCATCTATTTAATCTATTAGATCATGATAATGAGGATGTTGTTACTACTGCTTCTAACTGTATCCGTATTATCACCTCCAAGTCCGCCAAAGTACTTGCTCCAGTATTAGATAAACTAATACTCCTACTCTTGAAAGCTGAAAGTTTCGATTTAATGTGTAAGTATCAGATTATCAAGCCGTCATTTATCAGCATTAAAATGTTGTTTAACTTCAAATAGCCATTTTTACAAGTAATTTAATGGTGCAATTCTTTTTCGTATTTCGTGCGGTATTTTGTGATTTTATACAGCACACGCTTCCCGGGGAAAAAACGTTTTGCAAAATTAAGTCCTGGGAGTTATCCACCTTTGACAATATGTTTGCGTACATGAGATGGAAAGAACGCAAGTTTGGAATAACTTCATAATTACCATTTTACTAAATATTTGATGATGCTATTTATTTTGTATTTGGTCCAGTATTTAATGCTGAAATAGACAATTAATTCTATCGGACTCAACGGAACTTTCGCCACCGAATACGCTTATTGTTCTTCATTTCTGGTTTAATTATTAGTTTGTGGTTTAATGATTATATTTAACCATCTAATAAACTTCCATCAGTTGACGTTTATTGTGGCTGTGTTCAACGCTTGTTGTTGCCATTATTTATAAGTTACTTGTTTACAAGTCCATGCATTACGGAAGTTGAGTTTAATTATAAATTACTTATAAGTCTGTGTATGACTGAAGTTACATAAATTATAATATCACATTGTTATATGGGTTGATTTGACATGTCAAATCTATTGTCAATATCTAAGGTACAATTCTGAAGGATCTATTAAATGTTAACTCTAAAGCCTATTTTTCTATCATAGCTGCCGTTAATGATATTTATGAATATAACCAAGAACCAGTGAAGAAACGTTTCCAGGATCTGTTTAAATTAAGTGTTTCTGGTGACGAATCTGTTACTAGTATATTTTATATGTTTCTATCTAAAGTCGCCAAAAATCAACCAGAGGTAATTTTACTTTATAAACGAAAATATTATACGATGGCAAAATAAAGTGTTTGGAACTACGTTAGTGTGCATTTGTCCTTCTGCTATCCACTGAGAAGTAGCCACAGACAAACCATATTTTTTTAGATAACATAGCCTAATGACGGTTATCTTGTACCATCCATAATACTTTTATATCATTTCTACAGCTAACTTTTTCTCCATTTGAAATACAGGCTATTATATTAAGGTACTCGAGAAAGTTTACGCTTCACGAAATTGTAACCAGTCTCTACGAATATGCTGTATGCTTTGGACCTATGCATAGTCTGTACAAATTGTGGGCAAACGGAACCTGTCCAGCGGAAGTAGCTCCACACATCACCTGGGTTTTTTGGGTTTTTTTTTTTTAGTAAACTGTAATTGTAAAACAAACAAAATATCTAACGCCTACAGTCGCATTTCTAACAAATTTTTAGAATTCTTGAAAAATAGATAAAATATTATATTCAGGGCGGAGGTTCTAGCAAGGACAGTGTCTGGGCGTTCGGATGGGACGAAAAACCAAGGCACCGAGTACATATTGGAAGTTGGGATTTGTAATAAGTGTCCTCATAACACATTGTATGGCGTATGTCCGTCTTCATTAGCCCAGTTGGTGCAATGACCAATGGGGTTTAACGTCCTACTTTCTACACCGACGTAATACAAATTTGCTTAAGACCAAATAATATAGATTTATCTTGAACAGGTTTACATCATCTGGAAGGAACAAAGTTAAGCTGGATGATCGAGTCTAAAATATAAAATATATGTAAATTTTTACCTTTCAGTTGTTCACCGATAGTAATATAAAAACATTAATACAGTACAGTTCGGAGAAGAGTCCCAATGAAGCATGTATAGTATCTACTCTAGACGAAATTGCCAAACGCCTCCCCGAAAAATTAGTAAAGTATACAGACGCTATTATTAAATTAGATGGGGTTGTCCAGTATAGTACATATTATGTATATAATATATTAAAGTGGATTGCAATTAAAAATGAGGTAATTGATTTTATTTTTAATTGACAGTTCCGAACTTTAGAAAGAAGTATATACAAAATCTGAATCTGAATAATGATCAATAATTTCCAGTGTAATATCCCAAGTAATTCAATAGAAATGCATGCTTTGTGGATCATGTTGCTTTTATATAACAATAATAGCCTGTTGATATTTTGTTTTGATATATTCAGAAAAATGCAGAGCTAATTATGAAACACCTTGCTAAAAGACTAGAAGGACCCGAGGACGCATTGGTTACCTATGCCGCTCTTGATGCGGTGAAACATATAGGCGGTAAACATAAAGCTATCGTAGAGAAATATCGTGGTACTATAGAACGTCTGAAGGCGAGCTCGGTGAATCAAACAACGAAAGACCTATGTACAGGTGTTATTGACATGTTAGAAGGTAGAAGGTAAGTAAGACCTATGTACAAGTGTTACTGACATGTTAGAAGGTAGAAAGTAGGAGGTAAGAAAGTCTTTTGTACAGGTGTTATTGGCATGTTAGAAGGAAGAGGGTAAACTCGATACAGACTAGGTCATTTCGGGACTAACGCATATGGTTTAATTTTATTTAAAATTTAGTCGGGAGAAGGGTAATAAAGACCTGTTCACGGGCGGGTGTTATTGACATGACGTAAGAAAGAGGTGATGGTCTCATGTTTTAAGCTTGGTGTGTAGCCATGGTTTAGGACTTAAAGGATCATCATCACGGTCACAAAGAAAATAAATTAAATGTAACTCTGAATAATATCTCGTTCAAAATAACCTTCGATTTACCTTATTATCAAAAATTCATGCGCTGGCCTTTCTAGTATGGGGTATTTTTCTCTCGCATTCGCCTGAAAAGCACTGAAAAATATGTTTTTTGCAGATTTGTCGCAGTTGTTTTTGATATACTATTCAAAAAAAGTAGGGGATATTTGATTTTGGGGGCATAATACAAAAATATGCAAATGACTACGAAAAAAGTCACTATAGAACCTAACAGAAGAAACATTTCCAGTTACATGTGACGCCCAAACGCACCAATAGCTACCGCATGGAATGCAGGTGATGCTTGGGATCATCATGGGGGTCCAACCCAAGATTTGCACGACTCTGACTTTGAATGTTACAGTAATTGTGGCATTGAATTCCAGGGTGGAAACATCAGTTTAATTGTTTTAGTGACCAGAAAACAAATTTTGATATGCGTCGGCTTACCCAAAATGAAAGGTTACGTGCCCTTGGCATGCTACAGATCGGCACAACACAGGCGGTTGTGGCGCGGACGATGAATGTTTCTCAGTCTGTCATAAGCAGGCTATGGTCCAGATACCGTGATACACAATCTGTACAGGACAGACCACGCTCAGGTCGACCAAGGGCGACAACTCAAGCCCAGGATCGATTTATCCGTACCTTGGCCTTGAGAAATCGTGTCATCACAGCAAATCAGATCAGCGCTCGTCTTCAAACAGACACTGGTGTGAGAGTGAGTGGCCAGACGATTCGGAATCGACTGCATAGGGGTCACCTTCGCGCCCGACGTCCTCGCGTGATCCCTTGTTTGAGAGATCATCACATTCAGGCAAGACGTCGTTGGTGTAGGGATCGTCAACACTGGGATAATCGACGCTGGAGCAATGTGATGTTTTCAGATGAGTCAAGGTTCACTGTTGATTTTTTGGACAGACGTAGGAGGGTGTGGCGTCGTCGAAACGAGCGCTTCCAAGACATGATCGATTTGGGGGTGGTTCTGTTATGGTGTGGGGAGGCATCACTGTTGCTGGAAGAACGGCTTTACATGTTGTTGCAGGGCGTGTTACAGGCCAGTACTACCGGGACAACATCTTGGCAGTCCATGTTGTGCCGTTCGCACGACGTCATGGCCGCCGTTTCATCTTCCAGGATGACAACGCAAGATGTCACAGGGCCAGGATCGTTACAGGTTACCTCCAACAACAGAACATCACCACATTACCTTGGCCAGCACTGAGTCCCGACCTCTCCCCCATCGAGCATGTCTGGGACATGCTTGGACAGAGGTTACGTCAACGTCAACAACGTCCTGCCAATGTCCAAGAACTTGCTGCTGCGTTGCAACAGGAATGGGACAATCTGGACCAAAATGACCTTAGACGTCTCATTAGGAGTATGCCACGTCGGATCAATGCTTGTTTGGTAAACAGAGGAGGATTTACCCGTTACTGACTTGGTTGTGATGCTGTGGTAACTTTGCTGTTTGACCCCGGGTATCATTTTACCCTTATAATGGTCAGTCTGTGCCTTACTTAGTCTAACGATCATTTGGAATAAATCGATGAATGTGAACTTCATTTCATTTTGTCATTTGTTTCTTCGTCAGTTTCATTAGGTGACTTTAATAACACTTAAAAATCAAATATCCCCTACTTTTTTTGAATAGTATATAATCAAATCTGAATATCTCCAATTAATATAGCTGCATAATAAAAGCATGTATACCAACCATGATAAGCTAAAGGGTGCTTGTTGCTAGTTAATGACCAACATCCGAAACTGATTATAGTAATATATCCACCTAATATTTGAAAATTGTGTCGTTAATTTTTCTAAATTCTCCGTAATTGTTGTTGTGCATGATCTATACTGACCTACTCTGTATGTTAATTGACGGTTCGGTTCTGTTAATTTTTCTAAATTCTCCGTATTTGTTGTTGTGCATGATCTATACTGACCTACTCTGTATGGCATGTTAATTGACGGTTCGGTTCTGTTTAAACCCATAGCAACATCAACCAATGAAATGTATGTCGATGTTTTCAGTTTGGAGGTTTTAGCCGACGATATTGGGCAAACACAAGGCGATGTAATCAATCTCGATGGTAGAGTAACAACTAATGAGAATGATATCAACTTTGTAAAGGAAGATGTCGGCAGAAATAAAGAGGATATAAAGAACGTTAAGATAAGAGTTAATGAGCAAGGCCAACAAATAGATGAAATGGGCAGAGTTGTTGATCAAACTGTTATTAAAGTAGAAGAAATAGATAGTAAGGTTAGTACAGAGATCATTTCTAGGTTGGTATAATATAACTGGATAGGTCACTAAAATGGTTATTCTGAAATAGTTACAACAGTTTATTGCATCACATTTTATGAGCAAGAGAAAACTGTCGATTTATAAATAAATAGATAATCTGATATGAGCGTATTTGCTACAGTTCTAGGACGAGAAAATGAGTCAAAACGGAATGAGACAGTAGTCTCGGTCACTTGATTTGATATTTGTTTATTTGGTGCAATGTCTATTTTCGGTCTTGTCCGCAGGTTTATCTTGTAGATTTTTGTTTTACGTGTAGTGCGGTCCTCCTGCACTTACTACTTGTCTTCAAAAAGTACGTAGGGTCTGGGACCGTTGTCAATATTTGACGAAGTTTGCCCATGCGTAACCGGAAGTTTTGTTTTTAATGTGGTTGATTATCCAGTATCATCTTTGCATTAATGTAAACAAACATGAATCGTGACGACGAATTAGGATTAATTTAAAAAACATAGATATGGCCCATGAAGAGAGAAATTTTACAATAATAAAATAAGAGTGTTGGATATTGAACTGGCATGCAAATCAAATGGATTTTTTGAAATGCCATTCTTGAATTAATTTCATGGGCGTCAACATCTTGTTTTAGGACTAGTTACCTCCCTTAGACTTTGTTTATGATAATGTAAAAGACCGGATAATCTAGCCAATGACCTATTTTTCTCAAATGTTGACAACACATCTAGACCAATGACGTCTAACCCTTGCTACAGTTCTAGAACAAGGAAATGTGTCAAACCGGAATGGGACAGGGGGTCAAAGAAACTTTCCAAACAGTTGAGAATGAGACAAACCTTATCCCTGTTATTAGGGACGAACTTAAACTAAGACACAGAATTAAAGTCCATTTAATATAACACTTTATTATATTTTGTTTTTCTTAAGACCTTAAGTCATGCTCCATACTGGTCAAGAGATGTTTCTAAACTGCTAAATCCAAAAACAGAACATGACTGGAGACTTCTATCAAGTCGCCTGGGTTATAGTAATGATGATATTAGATCCTGGTCACAACAATCTGATCCATGCATGGCTATGTTAAATGAATGGTATGCTACACGTAAAACAAGTGAAGCTAACTATGGTGTACTCAATATATTACAAGAAATGGACAGAATGGATGCCGCCGTTATTGTAGAAAATGCCATGAAAGCTGCAGGTAATTATGGGTTACTTCAAAGCATTATGATAGAGTCTTAAGGGTTACTAAATAGTCTGCAGGACCTAAACAAGCATTATATAAGAGATGAATTTGCCTACTGCAGGTCTTTGTTTTGGCCTTAAATGTTATTTATAAATTATTACATTAGACATTTTTATTAACATGGATGCCTCTGATTTTAAATGTATTAGAACGGTTCAGCCATTTAATGATTTAATTTAAAAATGGAGAAACCAGGCTAAGACTCGAATGACCAGTACGGTAGTTACGATCAATGCACACATCTTGTCAAAACTACAACCATTGATAACTTTGCTCAAAATAAACTAATTTGAATGAAATTTTCAATATTCATTTTGCATTATCTATTTTTTTAAGTATTATAGCGAGGGCGTCCAGCTCTTTATGTAAATCTTACATAATGCTCCTTTAATTGCAATGCTCCAGGATACAGAAATAGGATCCTTATTATTCAGTTATGCGTGTAACGGATTTCATTATAATAAAATTACCAACAACAAATCGGTCTTGACAACCAAAGCTAAGGCACCGTCTCTGATTCAGTTGTCACGTATATCATGTTAAGACTTATTGTGTTTTCTCAGCAGTAGTCTTAAAATCAATGTCTGGTTCATAATAACACAACTTTCTATTTCTTGGTTTATCGCATGAAACGTTTCAGTACTCTTATAGCTTTATCAAGCAATGATCAGAGAAGGGGTACAACCATAGATATAGTAAATACATGAGTAAAATAAACTGTACAATCAAAACAACAAAATTAATTTCATTCATATTAACAATGCGCCAATTGGTATTTGTCGCTAAAATATCAAATTTCTCACGACTTAATCCACGCTAATAGTATGTCCTCATATTGATTATTTAACATTTAATTAAGAAAACAAAATCCAAATACCAACGCTAGATAATGTCCCGACTTGGATTCAATCGGATTTAAAACATGCCTATTATTAAATTTTCGTGGACAACATGGCGACGGGCTTATGCATAGCGGGAAGCATAGATCGATGGAATTTCAATTCTCCATATCTTTGTGGAACCATTATTGGACTGATATTCCTATCAGAGATTCATCTTCCATATAATATTGTAGTTTGCAAGTGATTCCTATTATTAAAAAGGTTTGGTACAGAATACATACATTATAGTTGACCAAACAATATGGGATTGACACTGAAATAATCAATCCTTTCAGCATTGAAACGCCTTTGCTTCTATTGGAATTTCGAACTGCGGGTTTCAAACAGAACACAAAGTGGTTTTAGTGAACTTTACCATTTTTAATAAATGACAAGTTGTTAATTTTCATCATCACAGAGCAAGTTGTGGAAGATGAGGACTTCGACTATCCAACACCACCTCCCATTTTCCTTAGTTACCAATGGGGTCATCAGGAAGAGGTTAAATTATTAAGGAAGCATTTAGAAATGGCTGGTTATGATTGTTGGATGGATATAGGACAGATGGGTGGAGGTGATAAGTTGTTTGAAAAGATAGATCGAGGTATCAGAGCAGCCAAAATCATCATCAGCTGTACCACTGACAAATACGCTAAATCTCCAAACTGTAACAGAGAGGTAACATCTGTTTAGTTTGAAATCATTCTCATGACTTAGATAATTACGAGAACCCTCCTGTGTAGATCAACATATACCAATAGCGTACGTAGTAGGCAAGTTTTAGATGCCACAAATACAAGGACAGATTTCGGAGGGGTGGTGAGGGAGTCAGCTGATCGAGGGTTTACTTATTTAATGAAATGGGGTTCTGTATTGACTTTGGAGTGTTTGATTGAAATTTGGTACACCGTTTTACATAGTAAATGACAGACCGCTTCAGTTAAAATTCACTTGTACAGAATTTATTCCATTATTTAAAATATATATTTAAAGAAATGTATTTGCAGTATCATCATGCATTGTAAAATTTGTAGGAGTCTGAATGGGTCATGTTTCCTCCGGGGCTTATCTCTGATTGCTTGTTATATTTTCAGGTGAATTTAGCAGTAAATTTAAAGAAACCTATTATACCACTATTACTGGAACAGTGTCCCTGGCCTCCAATGGGTTCTATGGGGCCATTATTTAGCGAATATCTGTACATTCAGTTTTTCCAGTCCGGACCCACCGAACACACCGCGGACGATCGTTATTGGCCTGTGCCAAAATTTCAGGAATTATTGATGCAACTTAGTATGAATGGAATAGTGCCTGACGAAAATAAGGTCAATAAAAGTAAGTATTATGTTAAAGTTATTTAATAAGACTATGTTTACAGTTATAGGGACATTCGGTCAGCTATAATACCTATATAATATTCCTTGGAAGCTAATTACAAAATCATTTTTAGCGACCTGAAAACTTGTTTTGAATCGAAATATATATTTAGTAAATTTAGACCTCTACCTAAAGTGATTAATAAGTTTGCAATAAATAATGTGTATTAGGATATTTGACAAGTATTATGGGTGTAAAAATGAAGACTGTGCAGGAACATGGCTCCAACAAAAGATTTCTAGCTGATGATTACTACTTCGAGCCTCGAATGACCAGTGAATTGGCCTACATGTGGATCTTTAATATAGTATCAAATAATTTATATTTGTAGTGTATAAAAACTGGTGGATGCCGTTGGTAGAAGAAATTAAAATAGATAAAAAGAAGACGGCAAACGGTGGTCAAAAGACAGCGAATTCCTCTAATGAAAATAAACAGGTTAAAGATACATTAGTTAAGAGTTTTATAATGAGTTTGGCCATTCTTGTTATAATAATTCAACAATAGATGATAAAAAAAGAAAATGTTAAAGATTTCAGTCAAATTACTTTGTTCAGAACGGAATTGTCACTGTTAGAAGTTTGGACTAGAAATAGGCATCAATTGTGCCTTCACCGTCTATGAGAATTGGCGATCGTTTGATTGACAAACGATAACTCCACCCACATATTCTCGATTATCAAATAACATGCTCAATGGCTAAGGTAGCCTCGCTTGGCAGGCTTTTCATCACCAGTTTCCGGTTGTGACATCAGCGAGTAACGGTAAACGTTAGCTTTGTCCGTCATTTATTGATTTAATTTTAAATTAAATGGACGAGGCTGTTTAAATCCAAACTGTATCCAAGCCATCCTTGGGTCTACAGAGTTGATTTTAAGCTTGTCGTGTAAATAAGGGTCTAATAAATAATTTCTATAACATCTGAAGCCTAAATAAAGACTTGCAATAATCAGATTTAGCTCTTGCATAATGTATGTTTAATAAAGTAAAAAGTACTATATCAGTGCTGCCATACGGCAGCAAAATCATGTTTATCCAGAGAAATTCATCAAAAATGTGGAATCTGAAATTATAGTTGCGAGCACAATACTACTGTGAACTGTTTGGTGAACTGACATAACGTTATTGCTAATTGATATCCAATGGGCTACTAAATTTGTATATGAAATAAATTATTGCGCCAGATGCGAAGGCGCTTCTAAAATATTTTTCTCTTTTTTCAGGATGGGAAGTCCCCCGATGTTTTTATTTCTTACCAGTGGGGAAAACAGAAGAATATTATGTTACTGTATAAAAGACTAACAGAATTAGGTTATGACTGCTGGATGGACATACATCAGATGGGTGGTGGTGACTCGCTTTATGATAAAATAGATCGTGGAGTCCGGGGGTGCAAAGTAGTCCTGTCTTGTTTGACAGAAAAGTACACCCTATCGGCCAATTGTCGAAGAGAAGTTAGTTTAGCAGACGCCTTAAAACGACCAATCATTCCCCTTCTTTTGGAAAGTATTCCTTGGCCACCAAAGGGGCCAATGAGTATGGCTTTTACAGAACTGCTTTACATCGATTTTCATTCGGATCCAAAAGTTCAGGAGCAATGGTCTGGGCCTAAATTTGCCGAAATGAGAGCTAAAATTCGCGAAATTCTTCCAGGCGAGGATGAACATAATTTTAATCAAGATAATCCCGAGCACTCTAAATCAAAAGCACAAGTTAATCAAAATAAGGGAAGTTTTGTTAAATCATCGAAACCTGGAACCAAAAGCAGAGATGCTAAACCAGCTATTAAATCTCAGGAAGAACACGCAAAAGCTGCTGAAAATAGCCAACAACTGACACCGTCACTAACTAATGAATCAAAACCAAAGACATCCGAGACGAAATCGCTAGATAAGTCAAACCCACCTTCTCCGAAACAGTCAATGAGTCCTGCTCCTGCGAAATCAAAATCTTGCCAGATCCTCTAGTATAAATATAACGCAATTTTATGATTAGTACAATGTCCATGAAACGTTATCAGTACACATATCTTTGGAGACCCTTTGTTGACAAGATATACCAGTTCACACTGATCCGCAGTGAATATTTGCTTGGCCGCGACAATCACTGATAAGGATGACATTGATGCGGCTTAATGAGCTAGAAATAATAACTTTTTTCCTGCGACAAATTAAATTCTAAAACATTTTTTGTATATATTGGAAAAATAAATAAAGGCGTTTGACGTATTTGTAGTTAAAAATTATTTCCGATTTAGTGTAAATGGGTATTAAAATGACTAAAATGCAGCATTCTCTCCGAAGCAGTTATGTCTTATGTAAACAATGCACGCGCCATTCAGCCAATGATTCACACCGCGTGCTGTGACAGCGCGTGTTAAGGCAGTCATCTATGACAGAGATATTATACGAGACTCGTAATTCTCTGTGTAACAGATTGATACCAGTTTTGTAGAGACTGCGTGCTTCGTGTTCATCACCCAATAATACATTCTACAGTAGATATCGCTTGTGTGATAAATTTCATAATCAACTGCGATATCACCGTAGGAGATATCGCTTTACATGAATTTGATTGGTCAATCTAAAAGGAACTACTTTTTTTGTTTTTAAAGAACAGTTCATTTTTTTAAAATTAAAAGTAACTTTTTTCTTATTAAAAAGGAAATATTTTTATTTAATTGGCCTTGATGGAAACACTGTGTCAATATAAAGAACTTTGCAATGGTTGAATTGCTGTCAAAAAATGATGTATCATTACACCGTAATGTAATCAGGTTCAGTAAAAGTGAAATCTATAGCAAAGAATTATATTTATTTATCTGTGCATGTAAGAAGGGGTTGGGTGATAAATAAAATCTCCTACTCGTCTTTTTGATATCAAAAAATATCAACACTCGTCGATAAAGTAAAATGGATTAACGGCCAGTGTAATATTTCTGGTGAAAATGGGGATGATATTAAAGACGTTTGTCTCCTCAAAATTTGTTTCCATTCACCTAGAGCACACTCTGGAATTTTTATTTTTTCTAAAGAATGTGGTTCTTCACATTTAATTTTCATGTTTATATCCAACAGATCAACCGGCTAATCTCAATATTGAACTCAGTCGAGGTATTACCTGATGAACACCTACACCAAGTAGAGTTCAAAAATAAAAACGAAGTTTAAAAGAATCAACTTCATTAACAAAAATTAAACAATCAAAAACTAAACAGATAAATCAAATTCAAACGAAACAAAGAAAATGAAAAGAGCAGTTCGTTACCATACTACATTAACAAAATAAAGGAAATCAACTTGTGAAAATTTTTTCAAAAAATAAGAGCAAAGTAACACTAATGTTAATAATTATCAAAAGGAACCAAGATCTTAATGATAAAAACATATATTTAAAGTTTCATCCAAATTGGATAAAAACTGTGGTCTCTAGAGGGTCCACAACCTTGATATACCATATCTATCTATTTCTTAATTAATTACAGGTATGTAAATTATTGTACCGGTAACCTAAATTTTATGAATATTGTTGTGATGTTATGACGATGTGCAATGCATATTGATATTGTGTTTACCTGTTTAAGATGAGTCAATAAAAATCTTTTCTTAAATATTTAGCACCCATGCCATTTAATTGGACGTACGGTATCCGAGACTTTGTTTAATATTATCATAGCAATCCAATAGTACATGTACCTATGCCTATTTAAAGATACATTCCTGTGTACAAACTGGGTGATTTATGGTATTATAATAGGACTAAACACATATTCAAACTAATTAATTTGTCATAATTTTGCTTCAAATCCTTCTCAAAACATTGTAATTTAGGCTAAATAAATCTTGTCAAAACATTCAAACATACGGTAGGCCTATACTGAAATGAAATAAAATGGGGTTTAACGTCCTACTGCTCCGAACTGGGCTAATGAAAACGGGCATTCCATATAGTGTGCTATGAGGGAAATTTTGCCCTGACAGCGGCACTATACGGCCGACTCCTATACATAGGCCTATCGAATTCCAACTCTCAAGGGATCTTTTACGTGCACGCCAATGTGTACACGAGACGTCAGCTTTTCATCCCATATGAACGACTAGACAGCTGTTCTTGTCACGCCCCCCGTCCTGCATCACTGACAAGAGGGAACAAATATAATATATAAAGTAATTTGAGTTTGAGATTTTCAACACATCTATCTTTAATAAATTATTTCAAGAACCAACAGCTCTTCGTTTAAATGGAATCTTACAATTTATAATATGTAAAAAATCTTATTCTTGTTTCTATTTCTATGCATGATTATATTTTTTTTTTTTTTTTTTTTACCGAAAGTCGGCATGTTTACAAATTTGAGTTTTAATTTTAACTTTATAGCCATGAAAGTTCCAGATTTAAAGAAAAAAAAAAAAAAATATTGCTAGCATTTCCGATTTAATTACGATAAATCTACAACTTTACGAATCGTGCGTTGAATTATATAGACTAGTCTAATTTCCAATTTTTTTGCCAACGTGCCAGCCATGCCAATGCATGGCTGCCATGTGAGTTTTTGTGGCTGTTGTGGCTTGAAAATCAATGATTTATTGATTCATTTTCAAACAAAACCGGCTAAAAAATTTGAATTTGTTTTCAAAACATGATACGACATAAAAGAAAATCAAACTCACCACCATAAGAGCTGAATTTTCGTTTGAAATCAAGAAATGAACAGGGAATTGAGAGAACTTGACAGCAGACGGTTCTGAATAAGTAATCGGATAATTTCCCAGATTATGTTTTTACATTTAAAAAGAGAATGTAGGTTGTAGGTACAGCAATGGGTCCAGTACAAATTAAACTAGCTAAGGCTGTTTTATTCAGCAAAGGGGGCCTTTCGGGAATCGGCTTAAAATTATTAGAACTATAATAAGCAGCAAAAGAAACGTCGGGTTGGTATGTTACTCTGAATAGACGCATTGCATAAAATTTTTTTATTGTACATTTGTGGCCACATCTCCAACTTTACCTGAGCAATAAGGCTCCTTCCCAAACACAGAATTGAGCCCAGGAAATGTTCTCAGAAACGCAACCTGACTTCTGAGATGGTAATGTGTTCTCCATGATTTTCATGTAACTCATGCAGCACGTGCTGTTTACCTGGACCAGCCCTATAAAATGCACCCTCATAGGCCTACCTATTTGAATCATTCACACTACAAGGTCAGCAGCATGCCACGACTCACGACAGCTCAGAGGAACCTGGCGCTTGGAAGACACGACGCTGGCCACACTGCCCAAGTCGTTGCCAATTACTTCCAGGTCAATGTTCGGACCATCTACAGGCTTCAGCAGAGAGAACATCCATTGCCTTAAACCTTACCGTGGACCGTACCTCACCGCTCGTCATCGACGTGAACGTTACAGTTTGCCCAACAACACCAGAACTGGCGACACAGGCAATGGGGAACTGTTCTGTTCACAGATGAGAGTCGGTATTGCGTATCAACTGCCGATGGTAGAACCATAATATGGCGTCGACGTGGCCAGCGTTATTCTGACCAATGTGTCATGGAACGAGACCCATGGGGAGGTCCAAGCATAATGGTTTGGGGTGGAATTGGCCTGAACCAGAGAGTGGGTCATGTGGTGTTCCAAAATCTTGGTCCAGGGAGAGGAGGCGGCATCACAACAGTGCGCTACATCGATCAAGCTCTCAGACCCCATACCACATTTTGCACGTCATCGAAACAACGTTTTCCAGCATGACAACACCCGTGCCCACACCGCCAGAGTTACTCGGGACTTTCTACAGCAGGACGGTGTCACCGTTATGCACTAGCCAGCCCTTGGTCTGGACTTAAACCCGATTGAACATCTTTGGGATGAAATTCAGAGGAGACTTAATAACGTCGTACCAAAATCAAACACAGCCGATGGATTGCGCCAGGCTTTTCTGAGAGTTTGGTTCCAGGTGCCAATGGCGTTCATCATTCGTCTGGTCCACTCCGTGTACAGACGCTGCGCTGCTGTTACTGACATTCGCAGTGGACACACCAGATACTGATGTATAGACTGTGTACAGACTCTAAACCTTCTCGTAATGTCTTGGAATTGTGATGAATTAATCACTAATGTGTCAACATACTGTTCACAAAAAAATGCTTTGATCCATTAATTAGTAAGTCGTTTTCTAGAATGATTTAAGTGCCTCTCTGTTTTTGAAATCGTATTGACCGTTTTTTTTTTTTTTTTTTTTTTTTTTTAGTATATTTCATTGTTGAAATTGAACGGACCTCAACTGGGTGTGACCAAGTGACCAGTACCCCACTTCTTAAAATGGTCTGAAAGAGAGAGATGGTGCAGTCAGCGCTTCTTGTACACGACTATACTTTTAATCTCTATCACATCGGCGTAGGAGCCCGATGAATTGGGTTGGGGGGGGGGGGGACAAACAGAAATGTCCGAAAATAAATGCCCGTTTAGAGGCCGGCTGCCAACAATCGCATCGAAGGCGTCAAGCGCATCACCAGGGACTTTGGTGTCCTCACACATAAAATTTTGAAAATTGGACGGCAGCAAACGCGTTTTACGGCCTGTGATAGTACAGCTTCTAAAGAATGGTGGTCCAGCCGAAATCGCACTTTATGGCCAATCAGAATATCAGGCATACTGTAATCAATCAATTACATGTAGACTGCATTCACCGAAAAGTGTCAAAAGAAAACAAAAACATATAGGCTAACTGGACCCATGTCTCGGACAGTCATCCAGAATCCGAAAACTGGAGCCGACGCGATTTATTTCGTGACAGTCTTGGTGGGTCGGAATAATTCGGACAGCGTCGACAGTCACAGGGGGGGGGGGGGGGGGGGGGGGGCAACTAAACGAAAACTATTAATGCTCTAAACATATTTACCCTTTTTTTTCTGGTTAGACTATTCTCTTTTATTTTAAAATTTGCAATTGAGCTTACTTGTTTTTGTTTTTGATTTTACTTTTTTCGGGAGGGGGTGGGTGGGTGTGTGCGTGTGTGTGTGCGGGGGGGGGGGGGGGGGGTACGTTGCCGAAGACAGAAATAAAGGGGGATGTATAGGACTTCTGTTATGTGTATGGAGTTTATATGCCGTCCTGCTACTATATATATTCCGTATAGTCCGGTCGCCAAACCCAATATTTCGAGTGAACCTGTAAATTATATACAAAGTTTTTTTTATGATTGATTTTAGTAGCCTATGGTGTCCTTTTT